GGACAAAGGGGCGGCACATCAGGTGGCGGCCAGATAGCGATCACAAACTTCCTAGATTATTGTGCTCATATGATATTCTGTTCTCGTTTACACGTGTTGCGTGTATATGTATATGTTGTCAGGGTACATCATGTCAAAGCACATAGATGGTTGAATCGAGACGGGAAGAGTAGAAGCAACATAGAGTATCGCATAGAATTAATCAGACCTACTTCGCTCAAGCAGCTCTCCTCACCTCTTACCGTAATAGAAGAAACAGAAGGGCTGTCTCCCCCATAGTTGGGGATATACATATGTGCGTATTTACGGAACACTGTAGAACCCGAAGAAGCCTTCTCCTCTTTGTTGAGACTTTGCACTCGCCACCACAAGGCTTGTGCTACCTGTCAGTGTCACTCTTAGAGTCGATCGGCTTCAGACTTCCATGTGAGCAGCACCCCATCGTACGACGGAGGGAATGTTTTCTGGGAACGGATCCTACAGGCCCCGTCCTCTAGTAAGCCCCCTATCGAGTGTTGTCGGCTTGCAGTCGGTCACACAGTAAGAAATCTGCTAGGATCCTTTTTTTGGCGAGCAAGGAGCGCTACCGAAACACGGCATACGGGACGTAGAGTCGGTCATGCCGCGTCGCATTGTGAGGTGGCACGGCCCCAGTTGGCCACCGAAGCGCAGAAAGTACGCGTAGTGAAATCAGTGAATAATAACTTCTGAACCATATGTTACGGTGACAGTGGATGAGGGTCAGTCTGTTGTGCTCGTCTTCCCATGTTTGTTACTGGCTTATGCTGCCTTTGACTATTTGTCCATGTAGTTTTCCTCGTGGCAACAGGTTTCGTAGATCACCCTCCTCCTTCTGCTTCTGGTCTCTGCCCACATCCAATCCATATGCTCTCTTACTCGAGTTATTATCACTAATATCACTGATAAACTCAACTTATAGAGATTAACTCTAGGAACATACAAGAGCTGTATTTCAGGTCTAATATTCCAAACGTCGTGGGAAACTCCAGATTCTGATAAGTGTTATGCTCTAGCACAAGGCAAACCTTTTAGTCATGTCAACGTTGATGGCAATACAACCTCACCGCAAGACAGCTGAAGGGTGACTTGAGAACTTATCGCATTTCTCATCATTACCAACTACTTACAGAGACGCTTACACTACACAAATCAATCTCACTTGTTTCCATACATACCAAGGCATGGAGTCGGTCATGTTACGAGACAGCGCATCTCAACTAGACTTGCCAAGCATGACCCCCGGCAGAGCCAGATCAGCAGAAGATAATTTGTCGATCAGGTCAGGGCTACAATTACCATAAGCAAAGGTGAAACTCCCAGGTTGTCTCCCGCGGCCCCTGATATAGACACTAAATATGGACAATCGCCTCTGCGAGGGCCTCAAGAGTCCACTACCCCATCGTCTCGGGCGTACTTTGAAGATTCCATCTGTTGGCCTCGCCTCCTTCCCAACTGGCTGTAGACGAGAATAGATCATAGCTACCCCATGCCAAACCCCCCCATGCAAGGGCCCGCAACGCGAGATCCGGACAAAGTGGAATCAAGTCAGCATCAAGTGCCGTGTAAGCTTGGCAAGCAAGATGATTCAAGAATTCACCCGTAACTGATGTCCATCTGCGAATGTGATGTGAAATTATCAATCTGTGAGGCTCTTTCATGGCGGTGTGCGACTGGCTGCATGTGACCTTTGGCCGTGCTGACGGGTATGGCGACTAGAGTAACAAGGTATGACAGGAGCGCGGGTTGGAGCGAGCTGATCTTCAATACCAGGAGCGGAATGAGAGGCGGCAGAGGGAAAGGCAGAAAGGCACTAGATGACGACCCGGTGTAACACGATAGATGCGACGAAGGAATGAGGTCGGACAACTGATTCTCTACATCTGATGAAGATCTGCTGAGGACGCATCACAGGCAGATCCTGGAGTCACCTGCTGAGCCTGGTAGGTACCTCATCTTACATGCAGCTTGACCCAAGTATGAAGTACCTTGCCTACACGTAACCGATGCATGTGCAGATCGCTCTGTAGTGCGACGGCGCAGCCTTTGCTGTCCAAGGGCAGAAGCGGAGGTGGTTAGACGGGACACAGAACCTTGCTTAACTCCCTGCTTCACCATGTAAGATGGTAACTACCTGCTGTAGCTGCCAGGTTGCGCAGAGTCAACTTCCCAGCTCGCATGTAAGATCGTTGGTCAAGTTGTGTCAACTCCCTGCTTCCCAAGTGAGACGGGCAGTTGACAGGGAGTTGCAGAATAGTTAGTTGCCTAGCCAGTGAGGTGAACGCACGCGAAAGCAAGTCGAGTTCCAGTCGAGTTGAGAGGTTGAGGCCTAGGTAGATGCGGGATTATCCCGCGTTTCCCGCTCTCCATTTCCATTTCGGACCGTTACATCTCCTCGTCTGATCGTTACGATTCAGTCTGGCCACAGCCGGCACGTGCGTCCCTCATGTTGTATGATCCCCAACACATGGGCGGCTGCTCCGTGCGCCCATGTGGCGACTGCAACACTTTGGGGGGCGTTCCAGAGACCCGTCTGAGCACATGTCTTAAGTTGAATTGCCCAAGCCAACGGAGCCCGCCCCAAGGTGAGAGCCGCTTCTCCACGTGGCTGCGAATCATGACAATGGCACGCTGCCAATGATCAACGATCCTCGCGATCCTATCGGCCTGAGACTCGCCGTACATCCGCTCGGCCTCGGGCTGATGGTGTGCGTCTTGCTCGTCGCCATCATCCCCCCCTCCCCTTCTGGACAAAGACGGAGGCTCCCTCCACCGAAGCTCGCCGCGAAGATTGCCGCAAAACCTGCCGTAGGCCCTGTAGAAGCCTGCACGTAAGCAACGGGACGGGATTGGGCGTGCGACGGAGGCCGTTCCGTGTCCATTTAGCTTCAGTGGGTGGCTGGCCCTGCTTCTGCTTCGGGCTGGATGCATGGAAGGCGGAATGCTTTTTCTTACAGACAAGGATCAGGCTGGCAAGATGCGGAACCACTTATACGATGCACCATACACGTACATGTAGTAGTATCGACCACGATTCCAGGGTGCTGTTGCTAGGGCGCCCCTCCTCGGTGTCCCTTGTCTGGCTGGCCTTATAATACGCACGGGTTGACGGAGCCATGGGGCATGGGGGGGGGGGGCATGGGTCCAGTAAGCGACGCTGATATGCTTCGATCCCTGCATGTCGTTCTCGCTATTCCTAACCCGCACAGACGTGCTCTGCAAGGTGGCATTCCGATGGTTTTAGCCGTGGCAGGGTCTGTCATCCTGTGACGGTCCGATCATGACTGCAGGCCGTGGATTTGTCTAGACAGACTCTGGAGCCGATTTCCTGATGGGGTGCGAGATAGTATGCGTGGAGGGATCCAATGGATCGCCAGTGGTTTTCAAGCCATATCGAATGCATAGCCGGAGGACTTATCCGCCCACACTCCAGATAGCAGAAGCCAAGCTCTTGATACGATACTATCTGTACATGGCGGTTCAGGGTTGCAACTGACACATGGGAGCATCTGATACGATGACTCGTGCATACAGTAACACTGTACAGGCACTGCTTCTGCTGGTGGTGCTGGCATCAAATCGCGTGGGGAGAGCCACATGGACGGTTTTGTTGCATGTACTCACCTACCTAGTACTTACATACATGAACAGGCAGACAGACCAGAGGATCCCTTGCCTACCTACCTACCTAACCTTAGAAATGAGGCACGGCCGGGACGATTACAGCCAGCCCGCTGTAAGTACATGCGTACAAGTAAGAACTATACTTGGAGGAGCAATCAGCCACGCCCCTCCTCCATGTGCCTTTGAATCCTTCCGGCTCACGCCGCCTTCCCTGGCGAAGACGACTATGCCTTGTCTGATGCCGCAGGATGACGATTGCCTTGGAAAATCGAATCACTGGCCTTCTAGTTGCTTCTGTCAAGATTCCATGCGAGCAAAGCACTGCATCATCCGGCATCTAGATGCCTATGGATCGTTCTCTCACCTTCTCTCACCTTTGGCTACCTACCCTACATATTGTGAAGCCCTCCAGCATCGCAACCCACCTTGGCTCTACCTACCTATCTATCTACCTACTCCATCTCTCCCAATCTCTCGATCCGCAGGCACATGCAATGTACCAGGTATAGTATTCGGGCTAAATACTCGATGGGTCCCGGCCAGTTGCGCGCCCTCGAATACCATTGGATACCTTGACGCTACTTATAAGCTTCCGCAACGGCGCCCCCCCGCGGCAGATCAATCGCCTCGATATAAGCATCACATCAAGCATTGGATGCTCCGCGCTCCGCCCTAAACAACACGAGGCCTGCCTACAAGTACCTACCTACATACCTTGGGTACCTACACAAGTGCAGTACCTACAGACGCTGCCACTTGTACTTGTATGTCCCTTACCTCACCTTGCCTAGGTGCTAGTACCTGCCTAGTACCAGACTCCAGCTAATGGAACCAACCAAAGGCACCTACTACCTAGGTACTAAAACCAACAGGCCTAACTAAGCCTTGCCTGCCTTGCCCTGCCCTGCCGGGTGACAAATTACGTCGCCAGCTCCCTCCTCCTCGTCCCCCCAATCCTTCAACTTCTCTCCATCCAATCCCACCAGACTCGGCCCTTGTCTGCCCACCCACGCCGTCTGTCCACCTTGTCTCCAAGTCCAAGGTATCATCTGTCTACCTGTCTACCTATCTATCTATCTACCTACCCATCTTTCAACCTTGTCTACCTTGTCTACTTTGTCTACCTTGTCCACCTCTGCCTGGCCATCCAATCCTTCTTGTCCACTCAATCCGCTCGCAAACTCATTCACTTCCTCTCGGACATTGCTGGACTTCTTCAATGCCTCGGACGTGCTGCTGCGACTGCGACTGCCACCGTTCCGACTGAACCCAAAGCGCCTGTCGTCCTCTTTTGTCCGCGGCCAGTTTCCCCCTCTTTGATCTCTCAAGACTCCCCTTCTGCCCACATCCAACCAACGATGCAGACGTCCGTTGTCACCATCGGCTCCCACGCTGCCACCGGCACCAGCACCACTACGACGACGACGACCACCTCTCGCCGGGACTCGAGACAGGGTAGCTGGAAATGTGGAAATTGCCCCAAGAACTTTGCTCAGAGTAAGTCACTCACTGTTTCACATGCCTCGGCCAACTCGACACAAAGTCCGGCCTGGTGCTGTTGGGCCGGACTTGAGGCTGTCTCTGCCGGAGACTTCCTGGCGGGTCGACCGATCCCATCATGAGAACCGTTGACTGACGTCTGGGGCTGCGGTTCAAACCCCGTCCGTCCATGCAGAAGAGTATCGAGACAAGCATCAGCGCCGCTGCATCCAGGCTTCAAGTAGACAGAAGCTGTCCAAGCAAAAGTCTTGCGTCGCTTGCGCTTCTTCCAAGCTTGGCTGTGATCAGGCCACTCCTTCATGCTCCCGCTGCATACATAGAAACATACACTGCCAGTACGTGTCAGCCCTCGCCGCTGACAACCAGAAACGGCAGCAGGACCAGCAAGCGGCGCAAAAGAATGCCAATCGCCGACTAAGCCAGCAGCGGGAACAACAACAGGTGCAATCGTCAGACCAGAGCCCCGCGCAGTTCCTGTATCTAAGCGGCGAGCCTCACCCAAGCCTTGAGGACAACATCGCCACGAGGGACATCCGCTCGACGGGGACGTCTCCCGAATTGGATCCTATGAGGGTCGCCAACGGTTCGGCCCACGGCGGCACAACAGGCAACGTAATGCCTCTCTCGACGCCTTCACCCCAGGGCCACCACCCGTCCGCTCCCGCCTCCAACATTGGCATCGGCAGCTGGCATGTCGAGTCACCACCAATCACCAGATCGGATAGCATTTCTGATCAGCTCTCAGGCGGGCCGCTGCGCGATGCGGGGATGAGCCTAGACTGGTTCAGGCAGAACATCTACCCCTTCAGTGCCGCCGGCAGCGAGAGCGGCGAATCCGTGTCCCCCTGGCAGCGCGGCAGACTGTCGCCGTCGAGGGGCAACCCGTTTATGCCATCTGATGGCGCACTATCGGCTGAGCTGGACTACGTCAACGACAGTGCCATGACTGGCATCTCCAACGATGACTTGAACTTTGATCTCCTTGGCTCCCTGGGCATACTCACCCAGAACCACGTCTCTACACCCACCGCACAGCAATCCCCTCTATCAGCCCTGCTGCGCCCCCCAACCGCAGCCCCTACATCCGGCCCGGGCATGCCGCCACCAGTGCGCAGCATGGCCTCCCATAGCCACAGCCCCTCGAGCACGGACGAGGAGTTGAGTGCAAAGGAATCTCTGCACGACGCTGTCAAAATGGCAACTGGCGGAGGCTCTTCGCTTAGTGGCAAGTTTGAAGACCACGGCTGGCAGCGCTGCCCGTTCCACAAGCTGAAAACCGCCGATGAGCTTGTTCGCACCATCTGCAACTACCCGAGAATCATGGTCCGGCCCGGCGAGTATCCGCCCTTTGTCCACCACAAGGTATATCGGTGTGCTACGGGAGAGGTTTCGGAGCCGCTTGCTAGGGCATTCTGCTGTGTTGGTGCCTTTTATGCCTCTGTTCCGACAAGCGAGACCTTTGTATACTCCATGATTAACGAGGAGAGCAGGAAGCTCATTGACTTGTTTGTAAGTGGTGTTTTCCCGGTATAATGTTTTGACTCGTTCTGACACGCCCGTTAGCACAAATGGTCAGGCTCGGACAGCGATATGCTCGCCGTTATCCACGCCATGTGCATCTACCAGATTCTCGGCTTCTTTGCGAGCAGCAGCCCAGCCCAAGCGCAGCTGTCCGAGATGCTCCACTTGTATTTTCTCAAGGTACGTTGCATGCATGGTGGTTATGAAGTGGCCCCCCTGGCTAACGGCGATAGATGACACGACGACTTATCCAGCAGCACCTCCTCCCGCTCTCCTCTGACGAGGTCACGGACGAGGTGAGCTGGCGTCGATGGATCATGAAGGAGACGATTCGACGAACCGTCCTCCTCGTCAACACCATCAATACCCTCTCGTGCAGGATTCAGAAGCAGAATCCGTACTACTTTGAGCCCCTGGACGATAACCTTGTCCGAAACACAACACTTCCAGCCCCGGAATCTCTATGGAAAGCCTCCTCGGCCGAGGAATGGATAGCTGCCAAGGCGCAGCTGGGACCCGAGGAAGCCGCGCGCAGTTGCCTGACGGTTCAGCAGGTGGTCGACCAGTTCATGTCGGAAAACGACCCCAACGACCACCAGAACCACGACATTTGCCGCGTCAAGTATGAGCAATTTGATGCCTTTACGAGGCTTATTCTTGCCACAGCAAGCAACAGCTAAGGAATTACGAACATGTCACGAAATACCCCCCGTCTTTAGAGCGAGATACAGTAGAGAATAGACGCTACGCGTGCATATTTTGCCTCTATGATCAGACCCTGTCGACGAATGCCTGTCCCTCGTGTCCTCATTAGGGGTTTGGAATCGTGTCAGCGCCAAACGTCAGGAAAATTAGCGCATGATGTGTCAAGACTAACGCTGGATTCTTTGCATTTAGTCATCGGATGCCCCCTTGCGAAGCTTGTGCGGCTCGTGAAACTATTCCAACATGGGTGATGGTACTCCTTCCGTTATTATCAGAAGTATGACAAGGGAGTAAGAGTGTGGGAAAACAATCTGAACCCTGCGGATCTCGTCGATCACCTTTGGTCACCTTTGATCACTATGATCAACTTTTCCCGTGAGCTCTGATCGAGTCGGCAAATGGACAAATAGGATGTCCGCTTATGCCATTGGTAATCAGCCTGTCAGAGGAAGACGGGTCGATGCTACTGTGCCTGGCTTACATGTCCTGCCCCCAGATGTCCATGGTGTTGATACTACTTGCTGTCTTGGGTGTTTGATTCGGTTACTAGGAAGATACTTGGTAGTGCGATGGCTGGCAGGTTTGACGATGGCTAGGCTTGATGCGGTTACTTGCGCTTCTTGGGGGTCTGGCGATATCTATCACCTACCTACCCAAGATGCTCTGGTGTGTGTCCGGCATCTGAATCAGTTGCTTGCTGGCTCTCGTTCCGGTTCCCCCCTGATTTGGTGTCACTCATTGTTTTAGGTTGTCTATAGGCGCCAGCGGTAATGGGCAGCAGCAGGGCTACTTGGACTAATATCGGTACTGGACTACGGTATCTTTAGAGCGAAGCATGGCAGGGGAAAGGGGGGTGAGGTGAGAAACTTGTCTAAAAAAGTTGCCTAAATGGCTACCCGGTCGATCGTGGCAAAGCGGGGGGGAGGAGGGTCGAGAATCACTATGCCGGTAGAGGGATAGTTTGATGGAGGTGTATCCATTGTGTCTGACAGGCACGAATCGAGACTCTGTCCCAAGGTGAATTTGGGGAGGAGGGGCGGAGATGGTGGAGGAGGGGGGAGGGAGGGGAGGGGAGAGGAAGAAGGGGCTGGGATTGTCGATTGGAGATATTAACTCCGCAAGGGCAATGATTTGCCAAGGCTTGATAGGCGTTGATTCTATGCCAAGTCGTACATACGTGTCATTCACGAGAAAAACGATACGGTGCTATGCGACGGAGAGACGGGGGTTCCTCTTGTAAGTAAGGACTTAACGGATGGATGAATCAAGGGGCGCGAATGATACCATGCCGAAGAGCAAAGGAAGCGAAATTCGATTGGTATATTATCAAGAGTCATGAAGCTTCACTTGCTGCATGTACATTAAACATAGATCGTATGATTTCTCCTTGTTTGCCACCCGCTTCCTCCTTGATGGGTTCTAGAGGTCTGGTATATTCATGAGATACCTCTCGGCTACTACATACTATCTGCTACCTACACACGTACCAGAAACAGAAAAGGGAGTAGAAAAAAAAAGGGGAAAACAAAAATCAGATATCAAAAGCTTACGCGCTCGCAGCAGCATTCTTCTCGAAAATCACAATCTTCTCCGCAAAGTTCTTGCCGGCCCTGCTCAGCGCACCAAGGCTGTCCTGCTCCTTGACGAGGATGACGTTCTCGGGATAGAGCTTGCCCAGGAGGGCGAGCCTGAGGATGGGATCCGAGGTGGGGATGACATGGACGGCGGGCGGGCTGCCCTGCGTGACGCGGGGGGAGATGACCAGGCCCGGCTTGGAGAGGATGCTGGCGGCGCTGTGGACGTAGGCGGTGCTGTCCGAGGCCTCGTCGGCGCCGCCGGAGTTCTTGTCGGAGCGGATCTCGTAGGCGTAGCGGCGGCCGCGGGCAATCTGGCCGAGGTCGACGGAGACGCAGGCGCCCGAGTCGAGCGTGAGGCCCAGCTTGACGACGCGGCGGAGGGCGTCGACGCTGGGCTCGACGACGAGGGCGGACTCGACGACGCTGGTGTCGGCGTCGAGCAGGGAGGCCGCGTTCCAGTTGGTCTTTGTGGTGAGGGCGTCCTGGGCCGTCAGCTCCGTCCGGGGCGCGCTGATGTACTGCGCGTGCTCGTAGTCAAAGAGCACGTCGCCGATGGAGCTGTTGAGGTGGGCTGGGTGGTAGCGCAGCAGGTGGAGGGAGCGCGAGCCGGACAGGAAGGCGGGCAGGATGAGGCCCTGGGAGTACTGGAAGCCGTAGCCGCCGCGGGGGAGCTGCCTGGCCGTGAAGACCTTTGCGAGGTCGACAATGGCCATCTGCTGGATGTTGCCGGTGAGGCAGTGGACCAGGAAGGCCCGCCGGGGCTCCTCGAGGTCGCGGATGCCGCGGGTCGAGCCCGGGGGGATGACGAGGGGCACCTCCTCAAAGTTCTCAAAGGGGATCAGGCTGTCGCGGAGGAGGACCATGCGGTGCAGCCACTCGTTGTAGAGCTCCATGAGCTGCGAGTCGCTGCGGGGGCCAAAGAGCAGGGCGGCGACCGAGTGCGTCCAGAGGTGGCCCTCGCAGGGGCTGCGGATGCGGAAGTCGAGGCTCTTGGGCGCCGGCTTGACGCTCTTCTTGACGTGCTTGACAATGGTGGACGCGACGCGGTTGGCCTGGTGGACGATTTCGCTGCGCGCCGCATCGTTGGCCGCGTTCTCCAGCGGGAACGTGGACTCGCGGCCCCGGGTCGACAGCGACGCCGCGAGGCCGTCGATGAGGATGGACGAGGCGCTCGGGTGGCCGGGAGGGTCCTGCCCGAGCCGCGAGATGACCACGTCCAGCAGCGGGCTCGAGTTGGCCACGAGCTGCTGGACGTTGTAGACGCCCGGCGGGGTCTGGAGGGCCTCGGTGAGGGCGACGGAGACGGAGGAACGCGCGCCGCCCTGCTTACTGTGTGATGACGACGGGGGAGAGACGTTGGCCATGGGGACGGCGGCGCCTTGGTTCAGCCAGGAGGGGACGACGGTGTAGCCGATCTGAAGGTTGGCGAGGTTGGTGAGGCGGTAGGGAGAGCCTCCAATAGGAGGGGTGGCGATGGCGGAGACCATGGTTCGAGCTCGAAGCATTCAAAAACGCTTTGAGGCTCAAGGGGAGGGGGGTGGGAAAGTAAAGAAGAGAGAGAGGGAGAAACGAAGTGATGGGAAAGAAGGCAGGAGGGGGGGGGAAGAGGAGAGACAGAGAGAGAGGTTCTGTTTGGTAGAGAGACGGGGGGGGGAGGAGGTCGTCACAAGTCGGATGGATTATTCTTCCTTCTGGGATGAGGTGAAGATGAGGTTCGTCGTCGTCGACAACGGTTGACCCTTGAGCAAAACGATGATGATGAAACGTGGCCGCGGAGTAATACGAAAACAGATGCTGGGCACAGCTCAGTTCCGTGTCTCTCTTTCTTTCGTATCGTCGGTATCAGGGATGTCAGGATGTGTGAGGTTGTCGTTGTTGAAGATGCAACTTTGCTGGAATTGTAAAAGCGCCGGCTTGCGGAATCCTTTTAGACCCTAGGAAGGGCGGCTGGCCGGGCTGCTTTAGCTTGCAGGAACGGCTCCCCGGCTCGGACATGCATGGATCGATAACCACGGGACGATCTGGCGTGGCCTTGTTTTTTTCTTTCTTTCTTTCTTTCTTTTCTTTGCATCTCTGCTATGAACTCTCGATGAAGGAGGGGGGGTTGGTTTACTGTTCGGAGTTGGATGGCTTTAGCTGGCTTGGTAGGCCCCCCCCCTTGGCAGAGATCTCGGAGTTGGATGGCGGTTGGTGGATCGGTCGGAGTTGGCACGGCAGTCAAACACCTCCCGGAGTGTCTTTCATTTTCTTTGCATTTCTTTTTCCTTCGACGAATGCCGAACTCTAAGCCGCGGACTGGGATGGAGAGGCGGATATCCGGGCAGGTTTTGTGCAATCTGTCCTGCTTATTGTGTGACCCCCCTCAGGAACCTGTATACCAGGTGCCTGGTTATGGTTGCCCCGAAGCGATGCCAGCCCGGCGTATGCGATTAGGCATGTACACTGCTACTTACTTACATACATACATACATGTGCTATGAAATCGCAGTCAAATAGATAGGGTCTTGGATCGGACCCATGTCGGATTAGCCGCTGCTGCAGGCCCCGAGATGCAGCTTACGCCGCCTATGCGTGAGTGTGTGTGTGAGTGTGTGTGCTGGACCCCTGGCTCTAGCAATCTAGGTTCTGCATCAACTAGTATCTCACATTCTTGGGGAGTTTTGGAAGGTCTGGCTTGGACAGGCATGTGGCTTTTGGTCTGAGATCTGGTAAGACGTTTGGATCCTTCTTGCTTGGGGCTTGGGGATGCGCGATTGGGGCGGGATGGGTGGTTGAGCTTATGGGACTTGTTGGTGGTGGTGGTGGTGATGATGATAAAGGGACGATGCTCGTCCAGCTGCTTATAAGTGCTCATCACCACGCCTCATAAGAAGAGCCAAAGAGCAGCAGCTGCCACAAACCACGAAAAGAATCAATCAACAGCAGTAACCATTCTTCTTCTTCTTCTTTTTCTCCTTTACACTTCTCTTTAACCTCCGAGACTTTTACAGAAAAGAAAACATGGCTTCAGCTGCCACTGCCAGTCGCCCTGTGGCCGTCACCGGCTCCGTGCCCCTCCCCTCCTTTTCGGGCACTGAGGGCGCCTACATGCTGCCTCACCACCAGCAGGAAATCGACCGCCTGACGCGCCAGCACCGCTTCATGAACTCGACGACGGGCGGGCAGCTGCTCATCACGCCCAACATCAAGGAGAAGAAGGAGCTGCGCGTCCTGGACTGCGGTGCTGCAGATGGTAAGGCTCTGAAGCCCCCTCCCTTCTCGATTTAGAAAAGAAAAAACCAAACGAGAGTAGAAGACGAAGCAAAATGCAGCAGATTGCTAACATAAGGACACATCATTAGGCACCTGGCTGCGTGACCTGCCTCGCCAGCTCCCAGACCACAAGCTGGAGCTCCACGGCGTCGACATCGGCTCAACCCTCTTCCCGCCTCCGTCTGCCGACGTCGATCTCCGCGAGCACGACATTCGCAGGCCCTTCCCCGCGTCCTGGGGCTGGCAGTCGTCCTTCGACGTCATCCACCAGCGGCTGCTCATCTGGGGCATCAAGTCGGTCGAGTGGCCCGTCGTGATCAAGAACCTGGTCGAGGGCCTCAAGCCCGGCGGCTACATCCAGCTCGTCGAGGCCGAGTGGATCAGCCACGACAAGCCGGCGGACCCGGCGACGCGGCCGCAGCTGCACAAGCAGGCCCTCATGCAGGAGTGGTCGACGGCCGGCTTCGGCATGGACATTCACATTGCGTACAAGCTCGAGGGCCTGCTCAAGGACGCCGGCCTCGAGGACGTGACGACGGTGCAGTTTGACCATGGGTACGGCGCGCTGGCCAAGGCCGAGGACCAGAAGAATGCGTCGGCCGAGCTGTGGGTTGAGTGCTTCCGGACTCTGGACGAGAAGATTCCTGGTACGTTTTGATTCCCCCCCTCTCCCTTTTTATACCCCTAGATGATACTCGTTTGCTTGAGCCTGATGCTAATATTGAACTGATGCAGCGACTGGAATTCCTGGAGTTGCGGCTAATGCCAAGGAGTTCCACGAGTTTCTGGATGCCCTGGAGATTGAGATTAAGACGTATGGCTACCAGCCCAAGCTGAACTTTGTCTACGGCAGGAAGCCACTGTCGGCATAAGCATCAGGAGTTTTGATTGTGACTGGAATCAAGGGGAGCAAACTTTAAGCTTCCTCGGTAACAAATGTGATTATGTACATAGATTGTTTTGGAACGCCTCACAAATACGAAGAATTTCCGGAATCTCACCTTTCATGTTCCCGAGTGTTTGGTGCAGTGAAGAGCAAACATCATTGGTGGAAATCTCATTATCAAACGGCCCCAACTTTGGGCCCTCAAATCACCCTCGATGCAACCATGTGTTGGTAGAGTAGAGTACATGTATGAAGATCTCATCACGATACATAGATTGCTGCTATCCAACGTTACCAAAATAGATAAGGTAGGCAGATCACCGTGTGTCAGATGCATAAGACCGCCAAGTCCATCCCCCCCCTCGAGCCCACACAATGTAACGCAGGGCCGTCATTCCAGAAGCATGCAAGTCTCATGCACGGCGACGGTTGCCACGTGGGAGCCATACACACGGTGGACAGGGGGAGTGGACACTGGAGGAGGATCTGGTGAGATGGGCGTAACGATGAAGGTTCTCACGCACCACCATCACCATCAATGATCAGCAGCAATTGCCACCAACACAAACCAACAAACACAAACACGTGGGCTGAAGATTCTGCATCTCACCAATCTCAAGTGGAAAAGAAAGTAAATGAGACTAATCGAGATTTTCAATAGAGAATAGGAAACTAGATACAAACATGACCCAATCTGCGTTTGTCCTTCCTTGGTCGATTTCTTTACCCTGAGCCCGTATAACTTGCCATGTACAAAAACCCAAATACAACAACAACATCATCATTTGCGCAGAACTACCAGCGATCTCGGCTTCACGCTTCGTGCTGGTAGTTCTTGACAAACTCCCCGAACTGCTTCACCAGCCACAGCGCCTGCTCCCTGGACAACCGCGGATCGCAGAGCGACTGGTAGCACTGGCCCAGGTCCTCCTCGCAGGTGGTCCTCTCGCCGTCCATGCACTCAGTGACGTCCTCGCCCGTCTGCTCGAGGTGAATACCACCCAGACGGCTTCCCAAGCTGCGGTGGGCAATGTACGTCTCCTTGAGTTCCTGCAGGAGGTCCTCGGCGCGGCGCGTCTTGACGCCGGTGGACGTGGCAAAGGTGTTGCCGTGGCACGGGTCGCACATCCAGATGGGCACGTGGCCGCTGAGCTGGACGGCGCGGATGATGGGCGGCAGGACGGAGCGGACGCGGCCGCAGCCCATGCGGGTGATGAGGGTAACCTTGCCGCACTGCGAGCGGTCGGGGCTCAGGGCGTTGAGGATGGCGACGACCTCGTCCGCCGTGGCCGTGGGGCCGACCTTGACGCCGATGGGGTTGCGCAGGCCGCGGGCGTACTCGACGTGCGCGCCGTCGAGCTGCCGCGTGCGCTCGCCCAGCCAGATGGTGGTGGCCGACAGGTTGTAGTGGTCGCGCGTCAGGGCCGACTCGTACGGGAGGTGCAGGGCCTCGTGCGACGTGTAGAGGAACGACTTGCCGGGCGTCTTGCCGGCGGACGGCGCGCTGTGCGTCGACACGTGCCGGATCGTGTTCTGCGAGGCCGCCGCGTAGAAGTAGCCCAGCAGCAGCCGGTTGGGGTCCGGCTGGCGGCGGTTGGGGTCCTCCGAGTTGACGTTGTGGCCCCTGAAGGCGTGGATCTTCTCGCCGGACGGCAGCGTCTCAAAGGGGTTGGACCGGGGCTTCGCGTACTGGCCGGCGATGCGGCCCAGGGGGATGACGGTCATGCCGAGGGCCTCCTCGAGCACCTCGCTCTGCTGGCGGAGCAGCTCGACCTTCTTCTTGATGATGTCGTACTTGATGTCGTGGAAGCTCTCGGCGCAGTCGCCGCCCTGGATCACAAAGGCCCGGCCCAGGGCAACGTGGTACAGCTGCGCGCGGGCTTGCTCAATCTCGGACGGGTTCACCAGGGGGGGCAGCTGGCGCAGGTAGGCGCACGTCTCCTCCAGAGCGTCCTTGTCGGCGTACTCGACGGCTTGCGCTGCGCGCTTGCTTCGCCACGAGTCTGGAGACCATGTGTCGATGTGGTCTGTCGGTGTGATTGTAATCTCCCGGATGGTCTCTGTGACTGCGGGCTTGACCTTGGTAAAGGTCGTGGGCAGGAGTCCCAGCTCGGGCATCTGGTGGCTTCATTGTTAGAGCTGCACTACTTGATAAACTAAAAGAAAGGGGGCAGAAACTAGGGGAAAAGGGGGGGGGGGATGAGGCTTTCACTCACCTGGATCTGAGTTTGGACCATGTTGATCTAGTTTGATTTTCTTTTGTTTTGCTTTCGAGTGTTCTCAGAAAGCTATGTTGAATATTCCCGTCTGGGCAGTTGGGAAGGAAGCTCCAAGGAAGAACGTGTTGAATTGTTCGTGTCTTGTCTTTGTGTCACGGCAGAAGGGGGAGGCTCAATGGCAAAGGCAATCACTGAAATATAAGAAGATTTGAGATGACAATCTTCTCTCCTGGTATTGCGTCCTGTCTCACACACACACTCTCTCTCTTGCCACGTGCGGCCTATCACATTTCCCGAGATATCAAAGATCCTGCACGACGACCAGCCTTCCATGTTTGGCAACTCCCGTCCTGTCTGGCGTCTCACAATCTATGCCATGACGCCTCCGTGAGACCGGGATAGGAATCCCAGCTCCCGAGGGGAGGAGGAGGGGGGGGGGGGGGGGGGACACAGCCTCGATAGCCACATATGCATCATCCAAAGTCACATCGAAGTCATGGTTCTGCCCTGTTTCTTACCCGAGTCGGTATCCGCGGTCCTTGCCATTCTAGAGACTTCGTATCTCTTCGCTTCGCTTCGGTGTGCAAGGCAAATCACTTCCCGCTGGCGTTATCGGGATGTCATCGAGAGGCGGGAGTCGACAAGGGGTTAGTGATGGTGGTGGTGGTGGTGTGTGTGTGAGAGAGTGTGTGAGTGTGAGTGAGTGAGTGTGTGTGTGTGTGTGTGTCCTTTCCTGCTTTCGGGGCCCTTGAGCCCTTGGCTTCAGAATTAAAGAACTCAGGTCAGATTTTAGGGCGCCAATATGCGCGGAACTGGGGCCTAATAGTTGGTTAAGTATGGCCGATGCCAAGGGTCTTGTCGGAGAAAAAGATCCTTCGACGATTGTAGGAAGGAAATCCTTGAACGCGCGGATGCAAGGGAGGGCCGCATGCCCTTGATATGAGTTATAATTGGGAGGACGTTCCCGGCTCCGGGCCAGGCAAAGTCCGATCCTCCCAAGGCCCGAGCGGGAGTCCCGAAAACTGGTTTGCAATCTCAAGAGAAGTCGGAGCTCGATGGCGTCGGAGATTTCTGGCTCTTCGATACCGGGCTTTCGGCATTTGTGGCTCGTCTGCCGTCGCTTTGCCAATCTCGTCTGGACTCGGGGATTGACAACTTTTTTGCAACGGAATTTAAGAATGAGTCTTCCGGTTCTCTTGTTGATAAGACTATCAGACTGGGCTCGGTTTCATGCTTGAGTCGCCGGTCTCTCACAATCTCTCAGACTTTATTGTGTGGGGGAATGTCGGCGACTTTTCTCGTAGAGTCATTGGCAACTATGCCTAAGTATACAAAATTTAGACATGTCTTTCGTACAACTACATCCCAGATTATGCGTGATCTGTACATCTGCAACTCTAGTGTTTAGCTATAGCAGTTATAAACCAAGATTATTCACTTGTCGTCTGGTGTCTAGCATCTCGGTCAGCCATGCTCGGCATCGAAAGCCATGATTCTTGCCGGTGGTGGTTGGCCTAACCCATGCAGGATTACTCTATAGACTGGGTCCTACAGTCCTGAACTAATAGTAGCCCGTACCTTGGGTCTTACAGGGGTCGACGTGCAAGGGTGGCCGTTTCGGGCCGGCAGGGTAGCATCCTCGTATAGTATCTCTCCAGAGCTAAACTCGTGTCATCTACAGCTGCCAGGGCTGACCCAGGTCCACATGCTGTTTCGGGTAAGAAGATGAAGATATCGGGGTTCTGCTCCAAGATGTCTGACGAAACTCCACAAAGCCTGGAAACTAGTTGAACACGCGAGTCTCGATCTCCATGTTGTCATTTTCCACACCACTACTGCTACTACGTACACACTGTATGTACTTGTAACTATCCAGGGACGCGGATTTGCCACCCCCAAGGGGAGGGGAGCAAACTCTTCTTCACCCTCCTCCACTCAGCCTTATACGCCTCTCGTCTCTAAAAACCATCACCAGAAAGAACCCACGCAGACCTCCCCACCCCCAAACTTTTTTCATGAGCTAGCCACAGCAATAGTAGGAGTTGCAGCCGCTGTGGACTGGTTCTTGTCACGTTGCATCTCATCCGACCATTCCGTGGTGTTCTGGCCCTTCTTGTGCAGATAAGCCAGCCGCTCAACCACGTGCTGGCCGGCATAGACCGGGGCGTACTTCTTGGGGTTCTCGGGCGTGCAGCAGGCGTCAATCGGGTCCACCAGGGCATCCCGGTTGGGGTGGCCGAACCAGGCAATGGCGTAGCGAGCGGGAACAATGTCCGGGATGTTGCCGTTGGCGTCCGGCTTGGGCTCTGGCTCGACGACGCGATGTTCCGTGGAGATGAGCTTGTCGTTGAACCAGCGCGCAAGAAGATCGCCCACTGCATGAAACAAGAGAACAAGGATGTTAGCAAGATTACTTGGCAAGATTACCGGAGCGGCGTGGCTACAAGGGGGAGAGGGCACATAAGGGTCTATGGTGCGTGTGTGTGTGTGTGGTATACAGGGGGGGTGTAAGCCTGTAAAATCTTGGGAAAAAGGCAACACTTACCGTTGATGATGGCACAACCCGGAATCGGGGGCGCGTCAATGTAGGTGCCGTCCGACTTGCGGACCTGCAGGCCGCCGCTGTTGTCGTTGAAGAGCAGCGTCAGGGTGCCGTAGTCTGTATGTGCCGAGGCGCGCAGCCGGTCCTTGAAGGCGGCCCTGCTCGTCTCGGGATAGTAGATGACGCGGAAGAAGTGGTCGCGCGCAGCAACGTGCGGGTCGAAGAAGTGCTCGTCGATGCCGACCTGCTGCGCCAGGGCCTGCAGCAGCACCAGGTGGACCTCGTGGCACTTCTCGAAGAAGAAGTTCATGTCGTCGCGGAACTCGGGCCAGTCCGCCGGCCACTGGTTGGGCCTCGTGGGGTCGTCGTCCTTGCCCACGTCAAAGGCCTCCTTGAGGTCCGCGTGCCGCTTGTCGCCCGACGTGCGCGTGGGCGAGAACCAGCCGTGGAAGGCCTTGGACTCGCCCGTCTCGACCTTGGCCTTTTCCGACTCGGGCAGCGCGAAGAACTTCTTTGCGTGCGCGAAGAGGTTGTCCCGCGCAAAGTCGGGGATGGAGTGGTTGGCCAGGTACACGAAGCCCACGTTGACAAAGGCGTCAAACAGCTTCTTCTTCTCCTTCTCGCTCTCCTCAATCACCTCGGGGGAGTGCGAGATGGAAGGGCCAACGATTTTGGCAAAGTCGATGATGGGCAGGCTGGTCGTGTCGTTGGCAGCCATGGTTGATCAATTACGTATCTATGGGGCAAATAGAAAGAGACAAAAAGACGTTGATTAGAGGTGATTGATAGTGATGATTGTTGTTGATGTTGTTGTTGTTGTTGTCCTTGGGATAAGAGTAGTCAAGTGCAGTTAGGGGTAATACAGGAACTGGGTCAGGATTTTATAACCGCAATGGGGTGTATGCCTCTACAGCTCTTGTCTCGACTCTATGGTACGAACCTCGAACTGTATGGTCTGATCCCAAGTCGGAGATATGCACCTGGTTGCATAAACTACTGATCAGTCATTGGCCCTCCAACTGGAAGCCATGAGAATCGGATAAGATGGAACAACTTGGACAACCAAGAGAATCCTTTGCGCTGGCCTGATTGTCGAATGCCATCGTCCGATCGTGCTCTTCGAGTATCGTCTATCCTGCCAAGTCTGCCATGCAATTCCTTCCCACAATCTTGGACAACTCGACCAGCGCAAGTCTCCCACCCCTCCCCCCCTGAACCCCTGTCGCCGCTTATGGTGTCATCATATTTTGCTGACGCGCCCTCCACTCACGCAGTGTGGGGGTGTGATCGGAGCTGACTGTCTGTCTGTCGCACATCATGGGGCAATCCAGATCCCATCTCTGTTCCGGTGTTACCGTAGCCTCTTCTAGTGTTCTTCCATCTTATCAGGGCCTGCGTCTCCATCATCCCACCCCCCAACCCAATTACCATCTCCGAAGCTTACATCCCCGTCGCAACCCGTCCCATCACATTCAAAGGACCCCCCTGGCTCCATTCTGTAACCGATGAGCAAAAGTGACGACGACCTCTCATGCAGCGGCCAGAATCCTTCAAGGCCAGCCGCATGCAGCCACATGCATGGGCTGATCCACCTCTGGCGTGGACGGGATACACCCTTGCCACGCATTACGACGGAAATCCACGGATATCGAGACATGCAAGTAAACGCATGAAGCAATCCTTCGGGGAACATGCTGGACCCGCAAGCTGCCCCAGGTGCCAGGGTTTGAGGAATCAAGGCCAGCGCGATCCTTTTGCAGCCATGGTTTGCGAGATGACACTAGCAGATTGCTTGTGACAAACTTTTCGGACATCTATGGAAAGCTTTGACGGGAAGTTTCTAGATACCCCTAGTCTGTTTGATAGTGCTCGTTGGCCTCGTCATTGGGAATCGCGAGATGCCTATTCCATTGTAGGCCTTTTTCCGATTCCGTGTCGGTTTGGATGAGGCGAAGTCATGACAGTGAGCGTGAGAGTAGGACGAGACCATCAAGGGGGCTCGAAGATGAGCATGCTAGCTCGTATTGAGGTAGCCCAAGTGAAAAGATAAAGAAGGCATCATGGCTATCAAGTATTTAATCGAACAGATTTGCCACAACCTCTCCTGTGAACCGGTGTGAATAGGCAAAGAACAGAGGACCATCAAGATTCAACTTCAACCATAGTTCATCAACTGAACCTTTGAAAGAAAAAAACTTACAACAAATTCTTTTCAAGATGGTCTTCGAATCCAAGTTCCCCAAGCCTGAGGTGCCGGTCGCCGATGTCTTCAACTTCATCTTCAACGCTGCTCGAGAAAAGTACTCTCGTGATAAGGTGTTGTACCGTGTCCATGAGACCGGTGAGACCTTGACTCTGGATGAGCTTGAGACACGCAGCCGGCGCTTGGCCTCGGTTCTCGTCAAGAAGTACGATATCAAGCCCCATGATGTTATTGCCTTCTTGGCGAACAACTCTGTAAGTACACCCTATCTCGTTCACAAATCAAACAGTTCAAGCGTACTTGAGGTGTTTTAGAACTGCTTGCTGACTAGTTGTATGAAATTGCAGATCCACTACCCCGTGGCTTTCTTCGGTGTCCTGGCCTCTGGAGCAACCATCTACCCCATCCCTATCCAACAGGGCCTTGATGTGATTGCAGTCATCTCCAGAGTCAAGCAGGCCGGCGCCAAGCTCATCATCACTGATGAGGAGTACGCCCTCATGTCAAGGAGCGCCGCGGACGCCTATCGTGACATCCCCCTTATCAGCCTCACGGGAACACCCCAGGGCATTGCCAACGTCCACGACCTGTTGGAGAACGAGACGGAGCTCTATGATGGCTTCCGTCTCACCACAGAGGAGGAGACAGACAAGAGCTATGCCTTCATCAACCGCACAACGGGATCCTCCGGCAACGTCAAGTCATATCTCATGACGCACCGCCACTGGTCAGCCAACCTGTTGACCACCCGGCTGACCGTCCCTGAAGACACAAACCCAGAGGAAGACGTCTGGATCGCCACCCTCCCCTTTGCCTACGGTATCACCGCCAAGCTGTACCTCGGCCTGAACATCCTGCTCGGCATCCCCGTCGTCATCCTGCTCAAGCCCTTCAACCAGGCGTCATTCCACCTCATCGACCAGTACAAGATCACCTTCTTGTTCGTCACACCACCCCTTGCGGCGGAAATCGCAAAGTCTGAAAAAAAGGACGGCGCCACGTACAAGAGCATCAAGTGGATGCTCTCCGCCGGCGCCCCGATCCACCCCAAGATGCGCGAGGCCGTCCAGGAGAAGTTCAACGGCGTGCGCCTCAGCCTGGAATATGGCACCACCGAGACGCTGCTCATCGCCCTGCAGGTCGACGACGCGTCCTCCGTGCGGGGATCCAGCGGCACCCTCGTCCACGGCATGCAGATCCGCGTGCTGGACACCGAGACGGGCGAGGATCTGGGCCACAACGAGCGGGGAGAGCTGCTTGTGCGCAGCTCGCTGGCGCGGTTCGCGGGCTACAAGGACAATGACGTTGCCAACAGGGAGTTTGACTCTGAAGGCTGGTTCCACACGGGAGACGTTGGATATGTTGATGAGAACTCAAACGTCTTCATCGTCGACCGCATCAAGGAGATGCTGCGTGTCGGAGACGGCTACGGCACACATGCCTCTGCCAGCGAGTTTGAGGCCATCCTGTTTGACCACCCTGCTGTGAACGCCGCCGTCGTTGTCGGTATCCGCGACGAAGAGGCCCAGCAGGAGCACCCTACTGCCTTTGTCGTCCTGCAGCCCGAGGTGCGCAAGGACCGCGAGTCGCTGGCGAAGCTCGCCAATGAGCTCGAGGCCTACGTCGAGAGCAAGCTGGGCAAGTTCACCCGGATCTCTGGCGGCGTGTACTTTGTGGAAAAGTATCCTCATGTTGGATTCAAGATTCACAAGAGGAAGTTGAAGGAGCTGGTCAACGTTGGAGCGTCGGTTGATCGCTCCAACCGCTGGGTGAATGTCGTTGGTTGATGGGTTTATCTTTAATGATTATGTATCTATGTTATTTCTTTAATCAATTATTTATGAAGCCAATGATATTTTCCTAAGCTGAAACCGTTTGAAACACGAAATCGCCCACGATACTCATTGCATTGGACAGTACTGTGAGTATAGACACAGGGCAAGTCAGGATATAGGTAGGCAACAATCGGTGAGTTGATCAGCTTCTTCTCTATCGGGAGCCTCCGTTGGATGTTGATTGAGGAGCAATAGCCACCAATCCGCGCCTGAGTGTTGCACTATCTGTCAAATCATGTAAAGAAAGCGTAGGTGTGCATCTGTGCATTTCCTGGGGGCGCTCCAGACAGCAGAGCTCTTCCCAATTGGCTTTCCATTCTCACCCTATCTCAGCTGAAACCGGGGTTTTGCATCATTGTCTCACCTTTATCAGCTGAATAGTTGCGGCATTGATGCAGCATGACATAATCCTTCAAGACCAAATAGACTTTATACAGGCAGACGCAGACGTAAGACGAGACATGTTGGCTTGAGACTATACAAGACATACAGCTGCACGTCCCGCAGACTATCTCTCCCTGCATTGCTCATCCGCCAGCTCGACGAACGAAATCATCCAGACAAGCCTGATACCCTGGTCTATGATCAAGGCCGACGTCCATTGAGCCACCACATACGTAATACCTGAAAGCAAGGAAAAGAGAATTCGCACCGGAGATGGATATAAAAAGCTTGCACTGGTCGCGACAATGAAGGGTCAATCTCAGAGCTCATCAGATCACCACCTCGACAACCCTCTCAACATTTTGCCTAGTTGCTTATTCCTAGGCGTACCTTCTCCAATCAATATCAACATCATCTTCAGCCATGTCTGACGTTACTTTTCAGCGCCAAGCAGAATGGGCTCCTCAGAAAGAAATCCTCATGGCTTGGCCGGGCCTAGAGGGAATTCTGCAGGACTATCCAGAGAGACTGGCTAAGGCAACCCAAGAGGTTTCCAACCTCGCCGCCGCTATCGCCAACTTCGAGCCCGTTACAGTGGTCGTGGGCACTGAGCGAATCGAAGAAGCCGAAGCACACTTTGCCGAGGTTGAAGCCCCCTTTCCGATAACTGCGCACCGCATTGAAGGGGATAGCATGGACGTCTGGATGAGAGACATTGCTCCCGTCTTTGTTGTCAAGAACGGCCCCGGCAATGACCGCAGCCTCGTCGGCCTCGACTACAACTTCAATGGCTGGGGCGGCAGATACCCCACGCCTACTACCATTCACGCCGCCAAAATGATTCTGAAAGACCTCAAGATTGAGCGTATCGAAACCTCCATCGTAACTGAGGGCGGCGCCCTCGAAGCCGACGGCGACGGGACTCTCCTGGTAACCGAGAGCTCCATCGTCAACGAGAACCGCAACCCGGGCAAGTCTCGCCAGGAGATTGAAGATGAGCTCGTCCGCACGCTCGGCATCAAGAAGGTCATCTGGATTCCGGGCAGACCCGGCCTGGACTCGACCGACTGCCACATTGACGCCCTCGCGCGCTTTGTCCGGCCCGGCGTCATCGCCCTCAGCAAGGCCAACGAGAAGGAGCCCACAGATTGGACAGTCGTCTACGAGGAGGCCTTGGAGATACTCAGCTCGGCGACCGACGCAAAGGGCCGTCCGTTTGAGATCGTCGAGATCGAGGAGCCTGACGAGGAACTTTTCGAGGGCGGAGGCTTCGGCGATGATCGCGCTGTGCGAAGCTATGTCAACTATCTGCTGGTCAACGGAGGCATCATCTTGCCCCGGTTTGGTGACCCAGCTCACGATGCTGCAGCCATCAGAGCTACCCAATTGCTTTTTGGGGATGAGCGAAGGATCTTCCCCGTTCTCGTTGACGAGCTGCCTAGATTGGGCGGTGGGATTCACTGCTCGACGCAGGAAGTTCCGTTGTTTCCCTGAAGGATTCATTGCTTGAGCTGGTTATGCTGTTGCTACTTGACATGTCATGCTGCTTGTCCAGCCTTTCGCTCTGATCGAGATATGTAGTTGCTTCATGGCTCGTATGTTGCTCTTAAAGCTTCTTGAATCGAATTCTTTTGCTTCCCCGGTAACAGATTGTCATCCAAAGAGGTGGCTTCTTAAACTAGACAGGCTTCTCACGATGTGTTTCCTGTTACTCTAGGTGCTTGAAGAAGCAGTAATGTCCGCCATCTACTCTATTAGGGCACATGAAGAGTAGAAGCATCCAAGTAGAGTAAACATGCACTCATCTTCCACTAGAGCATGAGGGCTCCCGGCCTGGACCAACCAAGCTGTACTTAGCCTTGAAAGCCTCGCTATGCCATCTGTTCAGCCAAGGCTTCTTTTGTCCGCCCTACACTTGCCCCCCAAACAATTCACTGAACAAGTTGGAGAAGGGAAGAGAGCAGAGTTCAACAGACTCTGTGGACATTGTTCAATGCTGCATAAATGCAAATAGTTCGCGCTCAATCAACAATCGGGAGCGTGGAATCAAATCCGCCAACTTCCGGATTCGTATGCGCTTCCGTAGCTCAGTTGGTTAGAGCTTCGTACTAATACTCCGGCTTCAAGCCAAGTGTTGGTAATGCGAAGGTCGCAGGTTCAAGCCCTGCCGGGAGCAAAGCTCTAGTGCGCAATCGAATCTTTTTTTGCTTCTTTTTTGTCCAAATCTCTTTTCTCCTGTATCCCTTCAAACATGTGCAAAGGCTGACTTCCCCCTCCTCTTTGAATTGCTTCTCCATTTTTTGACATGCTTTTGTTCGTATAAACGAAGCCTGTTCGGTAATTAAACAGTTGAGCTGCCTCTTTCCTTGCGTTTGACTGGTGCAATGACATTCGCTTCCGTGTAAGCGACATCGACCTCTGTTTTTAGGTGATCATGGAACAACGGATACCTCTTACTTATCGCCTGTCTATCATGCCGTGGACGTAACTTGTAGATAATGTGAATGCCCGATTTCTTTCCCCTGGACTACTTTCACGGGAAGCCCTTCTAGCTGCAAGCCGCCTGACGTAAAGCATGAAGACCTAGTATACATCAAAGTTTGCATATTGATGACTCTGTTGTTCTCAATGCTTGTTCCGACATTCACAATCTTGCTTTCTCTTGATGGATTCTCAGGCACAGCAAGCAAGCTGTATCACACACATCTCACGCACAGTCATGGTGCCTCTGCTCGTTGAACAGCAATATGACCCGAAGCGGACAGCGTCAGCGCTGCCGTGGTCGTACAATCACGACTGATTGTTGCTCGCTGCCTCCTGCCCACGATTTCATCTCGGCCCATGCCAAGGTGATTCAATGACGATGTGCTGAGGCTGTTCTTCCTCAATATTTCTTTGTTCTACCCTTGGCCTCTATGAGAAGCCCCCCAGCCGCATGTTGTGTTACTCGACCACCCCAGCATTTTTAACAACTGAACAGCTGCCACTGAGGAACACGAGAATGTTCCCTGGCGGTGAATCTACATCATGTTTAGGTCCTTGTGAACAGCAACGAGCGCCATGAGCTTATAAGACTTGCGAGAGATCCGCGGTCTAGGATCCTCAAAGACCATTCATGGGAAGCTGAAGAGACCTTCGGCAGCTTGCATTTGAAGAAGAAAGGGAAGACAAAGACAAAAAAACAAACAGAATCAAGCAATTTCACAAATCAACATGGCCAGCGGATCAAGTTCCATCAGCACAGAAAAAGAAGCGGAAATGTTCGACCGCCTGTTCGAGCTCGACGGCGAAGACATCAGCTGGGTCAAGAAGCGCATCTTTGACCGCCTCGCCACCTGCAAAGCGTATCTGGGCGAGCGACCCCCTCAATTCCGAAAGGCCCTGCGCGAGGCGGAAGAGGCCTCCGTCATCGCGTTCGCCGAGGGCATGACCGACATCGAGTCCAAGATCAACTTCTACATGGCCCACTGCTACCGGGGCCTGGGCAAGTGGGAGGAGGCTTACAAGTTCTACATGGCCAGCACCGTCGACTCGCAGGACATTTACTGGCTGCAGGGCTTGCAGAGCTTCAGCAGGCAGAAGATGGAGGGCGAGAGGAATCCGGAGCTCAGGCGGGTAAGAGGCTCTGGCGACCTGCGCATGTGTTATAGCGAGAAGAAGAAGCTAAGGTAGCCAAGGACGCGGTTTCTCCGTGAGCTTTTGGGGGGTACACATGATCAATCTGTGAGTGAGGACGAGATGTTTCCCATATGGGGCTGTTTTGCATTCTCCGGTTGGAACAGCTCAGCTTACTTGGCATCATAGATTGCATCGTCGGAGCCAAAGTGGAAGGTCTACGAAGTTTGATGGATGAAGCGCTGGTCGCAGAACGTGTCAAGGCTATTGAGCAGGATAGTATAGACCCTCTTCGCAATGCAAGGTTTATGAGACATATCACCTTGGTGAGATGAAGTATTCAGTTTGCTGTTAACTTTTTGCTGGGTTGCAGAGTAAATAAATGGCCTTTTATTGTTATTTCAGGCCTCATAATCGTAGATGATTGGTCAAGACGCCCAAGATGCACATTTACAACGCCAGTTACCCTCATGATAGTTGAAGTGAAGAGCATGTGTAACCCTAACCCTCCGGGCGATGAGACACGGCTCATGGCGTTTCCGGGTAATTGGGCAACCTAGAGCTTTGTCAACAACCGCCATCTGCAACATCGTAATACCCTGTGATACAGACTATCGTATTATAGGTGCTAACAAGGACAAATTGTAGGCTGGGAGCGGTGGTGTGTAATCGACACTTGGCACTCTCTTCCGAAACTCTTCGCGTATAAGAAGACCTTGATCAAGTGAGCAGAATACAGCCTGATTTAGGTGATAGACAGGGTGCCTGTAAATGAACCGAAACAAGGTGGCAAGAAAAAAACAACAAAAATTGTTTCCTTTGATACGAGGGCAAAAAAAATTGGATCGCGTGAGCCAAGATTTGTATCTAAATTGACCAAGCCCCCTGCCAGACTCGAACTGGCAATCTCAAGATACGCTCTATGAGACGCTGGGTATTCTAGTTCCCAGCACTAATAGAAGTCTTGCGCCTTAACCATTAGGCCAAGGGGGCTCTCCAATGGCCGCTCGTCTAACAAAACTTGTCTTATACGCACAACCAGCTCTAACGAACTCGTCGATATTGTAGCTGATTCCTCTGCTTCTACTGCTGATACTCGTCGACTGACGCCTGCGATCTCGGGCTGCTATAAGACATCATGAGTACATGGCAGAACGACCAAGCAAGAAGAGTTGACACATCACCATCTCCATAGCCGATTGACCTACAGGTTGACACAAACCGGCTCTATCCAAGCATCGTTTTAATACCTTGGTGGTCTGATTGTTCTGCATGTCGCCGTAGCGGCATCCATCTCGTTCCCCATACCCCGCAAGATGGCAAAAAAATTGAAGCCTTCAACAAACATCAACAACAACAAGGTCTGGATGAAGCTGAATCCTTCTGTCCTGCAACCTCTGATCTCGATAGCGGGGAAACTGGCCTCGTAAAACTCCGCATAATAACTCCGGGGTGCGGACAGAGTAATGCCGACAGACAACTGGCCACGATCCAAAGTCAAATCAACTCGCACTTCCGCACACCACCTGCTTCCCGCAACCATTGCAGCCCTGTTTGTCTGCCTCCAACTGTCAACTCTTCCACCCACCCGATCACTTTTCCTTCTTCTTCCACAGGGCCGAGCTCCCATGTAACCCGCAGGCTGTGGGCGAGCACCTGATTGGCGAGCCACGCCTGTCAAATCGCTCGTCATGCCTTTCATTCCTGCAGTTGATCCAGGTCCTGGGCTTGGGCATTTGTTGATCCAAGGCCTCACTTACATACTCACCCCGTCTCGCGAGCTGAATGGCCGTCATGTGGCTTGGCGACACGACATCATCGAGCATTGCGCTTCCTCTGCGCTGTAACCCCCCTCGCCATGCTGCAAACTCCTCAGAAGGGCTGCGGAGTTTTGGGGGTGGGTTGCTTGGCTTCGCGGCACCTCGCTCAGTCGAGGTCACTGCTCCGGGAGGACATGCGAGTCCTGGCATAGGCAGCGGCTCTCTGATAAAACTTGCTCAACAAACCGCGTCCTGTCCAGGCAACGCATGGTGTGGGAGAAAAAAAAAAGTCCGCGGATCCTGGGGCACTGCATCGTGCCAGCGCCCAAGATGATTGCGTGCTAATAATTATAAGCCAGCCCTGCCTTGCCTGCTTCTCGATGCGGCAATCATCTGCCGTGAGCCACATGCTCATGCTGTGCTGCGTGAACAAAGCAGGCATGTCGTGTCCTCCTCCCACGCTTCGACTGCCCTGCCTGTATCGCGAGAAGAAACGAGAAAGGGTAGGGTTACGGACGAATCATCCCGACTCGACGCTGGTGAGACGCAATCTCGATTCCGCACTGCCCGGTGCCGACATCTATATATGGCTATACTTGACGACCAGCTAGCCCTGTTCCTGTCAGATCTGCATCGCGTGCCGACGGGCCACTCTGCTTTTGACGCCTCCGAATCATAGCAGCAGCTACTGGGTAAGAAGCAAGCCGGCTTGGCCCCCCCCTGTACATCATGGCCCTTTCTGGGTCCCACACGGTCAGCAGTGAGCGGCGACGACGAGTTTCAGTTCCTCCGACGAATGATCACGCATCCTGGCTCGACTATCGTGGGCCGAGGTATCTATGTATTACTCGTAGTATTTGGAATCGCACCGCAGACTTTCTCCTCGGTTGAGTCATATGAGAATGCTGAGCCAGGCACAACCTCAGCCTTGGAACATGAAAGAACATGGACAGACACGCACACACACACCCTTCCAAGGTTTGGAGAGGCCATTATCGGCGCCTTGACGTCTCTTACAGCCCACACACACCCCAGAATGCTAAAGCCGATAAGGACTGACGGCCGCAAACTCCTTCCGTAGGCTAAAATCGCTGCCAGCACACGGTAGTTCGCGTGCAGATTTCCCGGCAGAGTCGAGATGACGGCGCCGCTAATAAAGGTTGGCCTTGACAAGCCAGCCACCCACTCACTCTCACTTACTACCTCAGTACCAAGAGTAACTTAGGTTACTCACTCACTCATTTCCTGGACTCACTTTGCCGGCCCCGAGGCTAAATTCACGTCGACGTCTTGCCGGTATATTCTGCCTGGCTGAATCGGGGCTGCTCAGCCCAGAGACGAACTACGCTTGAACGTCCGTCTCGAGACATTTGTGTAAATGGGTCGCTGTAAATCTGCTATGCGGAAAGCGGCATACATACTATCCAGAGCTTGAGGGAACATTTTGTCCCCCATAATAATAAGCAACGCGGCCTAACATAGTACGAGAGACTATTTGCCTGCCTCTTTGGGATAGAGTCACGGCCTAACTCCAATGCGACGTCGAAAAAAGAAAAGAAAAAAAGAAATAAGAAAAAACCTTCTTCTCTGTGTTTATCTCAAGGCCACAACCTTGTCATCATCCTCGTTAGAGGGAGGAGGGAAGAAACGCCCAGTTAGCCTTACTGCATGGGGGAGGGAATATCCAGGGTTGCCCGTGTCAGTTGTCTCAACATGCTGCCCATTACCACGTCTAGATGTATCCTAGTGCATATGTACATACTCTGCTCATCAACGGGCCTATTCTGAGCCATCGTGTAGTCGGCCCGTCCCCGGAGGCTCAACCAAAGTACATACGAGGTGCTCAACAGATTATCAGGGCAGAAGATGGGTTAGTAGCTGGGACGCATTCTCCCCCCGCATTCTTTCCCTCGTGGGAGGATCAAAGTTGCATGCATGGCTATTAACTCTGTCGGCTTGTCTCTGTTGACGATGCGCACTACAGGCCCAGGGACGAGAAGCAACAAGTAGTACCACCGAAGCAGCAACGGAAGGTGTAAGCAAAGGGGAGGGGGGGCCTTTGGAGCGTAGCATGCCGACTCGCAGGCTGCCGTCTTACAAGTCGTGTCATGGGTGATACGCCGTATCACGGGTGCGGCCTCCTACCCGTTCCAGCAATGGTGACATTTATGCCGCCGAATTCTAAATTCTTCAATGTGAGAAAGCATACAACCAGAGACCATCCCTGTGACTTCATAGGGCATGATGAGAGGAAAGGGAGGGGGAAAGAAAGAAGGAATTAAACTCTGCAGTCAGAGCTGGGCCAACACTTGCATCGTGGATGCCGGGCCAAGAAAGGGACTAACGACAGAAGGGGGGGATGGAGGGATTTTCTTCATATCGACATTATCATGGCATCATGGTCCTTCCGGGGTGGATGGGGAGGAACTAGAAGGGCTGCAGTATCAAGCTTTGCTCGAGTCTACTGCGAAGCATCAAATGCTATGCAGATAGGCTGGATGGGTTGCTTTCTTCGGAGTGTCTGCCCACCCCCCCAAGAGGAGCCAAAAGAGATCAGCGTGCTGCACCCCTGCCCTCTCTTGGTGTTGTGGGCTCTTGTTATCGACTTACATGGATTGGGCCAGGCCTTTGGCTCATGTATGTTTGTGTCAAGGGCCGAATCTGCCATCGAAAGCCTGGAATGGGTGGTTGCAGAGAAGGGGGAGGCAATGTTAAAGAAACGAGGTGCTGGGTGAACAAACATAAAGGCAGACGTCCTGGATGTCATGGGTAGTCTCTCGACGCTTGGCCCAAGCAGCTGTGCTTTCCACTCGTTTTGTTCTTGTGAGGGCTTTTTCCTCGCATCAAACCCTATAGAAAGCAAAAATACTCCGGTGGAGTTCGGCATCTGGGAATCTAGAAAGCCTGGGATCAAAACCCCAGTGGCCTTCTCTCCTCGTCCGAGGCATCCCTCACGTCGGAGGCTTATCATCTCCTGCCAGAAGCAATCAGACATCGAGATAGTCTTCCTAGTCTAACAGCAGAGTTCCTTGAGAGAGCAAAGTAAGCATCATTCTCAAACAGAAAAGCTTTCACTCACAGCTGGCCTATTTGCCCGTGCCGTCGGGGCCGGGGTAACACATGTCTGACAGGCATCATCAAGCAGGAACCACCGTGAACAGACCATCAAGTCGGCATTCACCTTCCCTAATCTGAAGCCAAGTCAGATAACGATAAGTCGAGTCCCAGAGATTCGCAATCTTTGCCCGGCATTGCCTGAGCCCGTGGTCAACCTTTCCCCCTTGTCGTCACAAGGGCAACACCTTGATATCAGGCCAAAGAGCGGGACTACGCTGCCGCACGGGTCAAGCCGAAGATAATCTCAGCATCCACCCGGGAGGTAAATATAGAACCTTGGAAACTTTCGAAAGACGACGCTGAATGTAGTCAGCATGGGCAGCGTTGCGCGGTTGCCAGGGCTGGCGGAGTTTGGTCATTGACTGATCGCTGACGGATAGATAGATAATCGCCGTCGAAGGGCATATACAAACCCCCTTTGGTGCTCGGTGGAAGTTGTCACACTCACCTGCTGTCTGCCCTCTTTCACAGCAAGCCTCAGCCTCGGGCTTGTCACGATTCACGACTTCCTCTCTTATTTCTTTCGTTCTTATCTTTCTCATTGTGTCGGCATTCTCAATCACTGCTCGCGCTGGTGGTTAAAGAACCAAGCTTCGACCCTCCTCGGGCAACAGGCGTCTGCTTTGACCGAAATCTTTCTCCTTATACGGAACCGCTCTTCGTCAAGGTTGCCCAGCATGACTGCCAGCAGCAGCGCATTCGCGCATCGTGAGGCGCTCAACCACAGGCAGATGTACGCATTCATCGGATCAATGGTTGGGCTCGCGGCGATCTTCATCTGCTTCCATTGGGGACGACGCCTTGCACAAAAGTCGAGCGTGGGAAAGAAGGGGGTTTCGACCGTGGCCGCTCTGTCTCGGTAAGCACTGTCACCACCCACCGTGCAACGAAGTCTACTGGCGATGAGAGAAGACGGTTAGCAGGGGCTTGGTGAAGAAGAAGGAGGAGAAAAAGAAGAAGCTAAGATGGGGGATACAGGAAGCCGCGAAATGTTCTTCTCCGCACAGCGCCAGGTCTGCCTTCTCGGGCACATGCCATCCTCGTCTTCTTGTACCTGGCCGTCAACATCATCATCACCTTTACCGACATTGACAACTCTGTCATGAAGATGAACTCCAACTTGGCCTCACGGGCAGCATGGTAGGCACCCGCGATGAATTTCGTGAAAGGAGGCACCAAGTCGCGCCTCTGTAATCTCAGAAAGCTGACGGCGTGATAGGATGGCCATTGCGAATCTTGTCGTTGTCATTTTCCTCGCTCTGAAGAACACCCCACTGGCGTTCCTCACGGCGTGGTCGTACGAGCGCCTCAACATCCTGCATCAAATCGCCGGCTCCATGTGCATCATCTTCGTCATCATCCACGCCTCGTGCTACTCATCCTACTTTGGCCTTGCCGGTCGAATCGCGATACTCCGGGAAGAGAGCGTGATCTATGGCGAGATTGCCGGCGTGTCCTTCTTCATCGTCGGGTTTGCGGGAGCGGTGATCCGCCGGTGGTGGTACGAGCTCTTCTACTACGTCCACATCAGCTTCTGGATCCTCGCCATCGTCATGGTCGGCCTCCACCAACCCAACTTTGGCGAGAAGATTGTCTACGTGGTGATTGTGACGGCCGGCATCTGGGTGCTCGATCGCCTGATCCGCATGGCCCGCCTGCTGGTATACAGCACCAACAACTCCGCCGTTCTCACCCCTCTGCCTCACGGCGGCACTCGCGTGACCCTTAAGAAGGCTCCCCTGGGTGCCGTGTCCGGACAGCACTGCTTCTTGTGGATCCCTTCAATTCGAACGTGCGAGACGCACCCCTTTACCATTGCGTCCATGGACCCCCTGGAGTTTGTCGTCAACTCCTACGATGGCTTCACGCGGGACCTGCACCGATATGCTGTGAAACACCCCGGGGCGACGGTCAAAGCCTCTGTCGAGGGCGCCTATGGTACCCTGCCCGATGCTTCCGAGTATGAACGAGTCGTCCTGGTTGCGGGCGGAAGCGGTTCGACATTCACCTTTGGCATGGCGCTCAACATGCTCAAGGAGAAGACTGCCGCGCATCTGAACAAGAAGATTACCTTTATCTGGGTGGTCAAGTCCGAGAGTAAGTGTGACGGAATCTCGTGAGGGCCCTGTGCCATAGGCTGACTTGGATGCAATAGGCCATCTCAACTGGTTCGCCTCGCATCTCGACACTCTTGCAAAGGACGAGCGTGTAGAGCTCCAGCTCTACGTTACCCGGCCTTTGGAGAAGAACGCGGACGACGGGCTAGGCCTCGGTTCGGCTTCCGCCACCTCGCCGCCCGAAACCGACGTCGAGAAGGCCGTTGCGGCTGTTACGGCCGAGCCACTTGTATCCTCTTCTTCCTCTGCCTCCTCCTCCTCTTCATCCTCCAAATCCATCGCAGACGAAACCGATTCGACGCAAAACACCGCCGCCGCAGAGACGCAGCCGCATGCCTACAGCAGCTTCATCAGACGCGGCAAGCCAGAAGTGTCTTCCCTGATTCGCACCTCGATCGAGGAGACGCCTGCGGGGGAGCGCGTGCTGGTGCTGGGCTGCGGACCGGACGGCCTGATGGCACAGGTTCGCAACACGACGGCGGCGTGCATCCGGTCCGACGGGCCGGGCGTCGAGCTGCACTGCGAGCAGTTTGGCTGGTGATGCCGGGATATGGCCTTGTGCTTCTGCATCATTTCCCTTTCGTCTATCTGTCTGTTCAATAACGTCGTTCTGTGCCTCTAGAAAAGTGTTTTTTTTTTCTTTGTCTCGTCACATTTGCAGCATCTGTCGTCATGTCCGTCAAGGCTTTCTGGAGTTTGGGTCATTTCTTTGCATCTCCGGTGAGATGGTATACCATGTCTTTTCCTGTTCCCTCTTTCTGTTGTCGTTTCGGAGGAAATGAGCCATTCCTTGATATATGGCTCTTGTATATATATCGGTTCTCCTGATTTCGCTTGGCGAAACATGTACATATGATGATATAAAGTGCGCCATATTATGTTCATATGTTAATATAACACAAAGCATGCAAGTTGTTTCTCGTCCAAGAGTGAAGTGAAGACTGGAAAGCAGTTGGGAAGCAAAGACAAAGAGACAGATACAACACGATGAGCAAACAGTGAGCCACAACCCGGGAATAAGTATGCATATATGGCTTCAACTCCTGCGCAGGCCAAACCAAAGACCAATGGCCTACATCCCCGGATTTCTGTCCGGCCAGAGCATGGACAAAAGCTGAAGAAGGTAATTGTCAAGCGGAGCCAGTCACACAGCCGCGTTGCCTCTAATGGTACCATCTCCCCAAGGTCGGTATGGAGATTATAAATGCTTACGAAGTCTGAAGCGCCTTGGTTAAATGGCTCCCCTCCCTCCCTCCCTCCCTCCCTCCGCTCCTCAGTTGCCTCATTTCGCAGGACTATCGGATCCATTGGTGGGCATGCCATGAGGATACATGTGAAATCGTTGGCAAATAGGTGGCAATGAGATCCAAGTAGGAAGGTGATTGCGAAATGTCTCGCATGACCCAGATCGATGTGCTTCCAGAAAGAGTTTGTTTGTGTGTGTGTGATGCGGACTACATGTAGGTAGGCGAAACTGCGGGGTGCAGCTGATGGAGCGATTTATTTTGTCTCTCATTCGCGGGTTGTCATTATCTCATAGAAACGTACCCATCTACAGTCTTTCGTTTCTTCCGCTTACTTACCTGACCTGATATCTAGAAACACCAACAACTCGAAGGTAATACTGGATAATACATACGTGGATTGGTACCCAAATACTTTTTTTTCGCTTCCCGTTTCTCTCCATTTCGCTTACGCGGGCCGGACCGCGCCAGATGTGGGGATAATCTCATTCCTCTCTTATCATTTCCCCACGTTTGAAGTTTCCCGCTTATCAGCTCAGCACCATCACAACTCACCTCTTTCTCCAACCTCGACTCTCTCAAACTCCCTCTTTCCCTCATATTCCCTTCCAAACAAACAGCAACATAAGATAAACCGCCCAAAAAAAGAAGATAAAAAGAAAGAGAAGAAAAAATGCCACCCAAGTTACACATCCACCCACCCCTCCTCAACACCGCCTCCCCCTGGTCAACTTCCCGCGCCCACCTCGCCGCCCTCCTCCGCTGCCCCTCCCTCGGCGCGGTAACCACCCGGACGAGCCTCCTCAGCGGCTTCCCTCACGATCCCTCACGCCACCGATACGCATTCTTTGATCCCGCGGCCGGAGCTCCCCTCTCGGTCCCCGGTAACAACAACAACAACAACAACACCAGCAGCAGCAGTACTACTGTTACAACAACATCAAGCCCAAGTACTACTACCTTTTCCGGACCGCCAGAAGACTCCCTCGTCAACGACATCTTCCGCACAGACATTCCCACCGACAAACTGCCCCTCGCATCCCTCAACACGCTGGGCTACAGCCCCCTCCCCTTGTCAGAATACCTCTCCATCATATCCTCCTTCACTCACTCCCCGCCATCAAGCCCCAAAACAATCATAATCAGCATAACCGGCTCCCCAAGCCAAATATCCTCCTCATACGCACTCATCTCCTCATTCTCTCACTCACCCCAATCCCCATCCCCTTTTCCCCTGGCCATCGAAATCAACCTCTCCTGCCCCAACATCCCCGACCTGCCCCCACCAGCATACTCACCCGCCTCGCTGGCGACATACCTCGCCGCTCTGCCCACCGACTCGGATATCCCCATTGGCATCAAGATCCCACCATATACCCACGCCGGCCAATTTGACGACTTCGTATCCGCCCTCCTCGGCTCTCACTCCCCTTCTTCACCACCACCATCATCATCATCATCACCACCACCATCGACTTCAACTTCATCCTCAATCCCAGTCCCAGCATCGAAACTGAGCTTCATAACAGCAACAAACACCCTCGGCTCATCCCTCCTCATTGATACAGCCTCCTCCTCCTCCACTTCCCCTGGACCTCTTCTCCCAGACGCTGGCATCGGTGGGATGGCTGGCCCGCCTCTCCACCCCCTCGCGTTGGGCAACGTCTCCATTTTGCGCCGCAGGTTTGATGCTGACCCGCGACTGGCGCACCTCGACATCATCGGCGTCGGAGGCGTTTACGACGGCCAGGGGTATAAGCGAATGCGCAGCGTGGGAGCCATGGCCGTGGGCATCGCGACGGCGCTGGGCAGACAGGGCGTGGACGTCTTTACTTCCATCGAAAAGGACATCAACTCTGCTTGGTAGATGTCACCACCTGAAACGCAACACAAGGCAATATCGAAGAGTGAGTCGAAAGAAGGTCTGTCAACGTAAAGATCCATGCCAAATAGCTGGATACAGGTGTATCATCAGCACTATCTACCATCTATGATACGCCGGCTCATGTAAAACTGTACATAGTCCCTTTTATATAACCTTTTCCAGTCTGTATCCCACAGACAGCATCCAGAAACCAGCCTCCATTTCAGATAGGGGTATAACCTTAATCATTCATGCCATCAGCAACACCAAACTCCGGCCAATTACGCAAAGTTGTGCCCTCGTCATATATACGATCAGAAAGCGATATATCCAGGAATAAGAATGACCAAAGGAGAAAAGGGAAGATTATAAGCATATGAGGCCTACGCCGCGAGGCTGCCCTCACTATGCTCGACCTCAAGTGCAGGCGAAGATTTGCGACGAGAGCCATTGAGCTTTGCGCTCAGTCCTTTGGAAACAGCGCCCAAGAAACCGCGGTGAGGCTTTTCCGCAACTGCATCCCCCCTGTAGAAATCAGTAGTAATGGTGGTCGGATCAGCACGCGGCTCTCCGTCGGCAAGCACCCCGCCCAAAGCCACTTCGTTCATGGGACGCTCCCCCTCGTTTCGTCGCCCGCGACGAGTTAGATGTGGATCCACCATCAGCCGGGCATCCTTGACGTGCGTGAGGAAGAGCGGCAGGGCCATCATGACCACCTGCAGCGCCACTATCAGGATGTATGCCTGTTGTACAGTGCCCCCATGAATGATGATCCCGTACATGACAAAGGGAAAGAAGGCGGGACCAGAGGCGCCCATTGTGATGAAAGCCGCTGCGCGCTTAGTCCTCCTGCCCTGTCCGCGCATGCCAATGGCGAAGATGAGAGGCCAGATGGGCCCTTCGGCAAAGAAAAAGAGGCAAGCGGGAATGAAGAGTAGGTTCGCATTGGAGGGCCGTATGACAACACAAAGAAGAGCGGATAAGAAACAGAGAAAGCTACAGAAACTGAGGACGGTCCGTGGCTGGGGCAACCGAGGGTTCTTCGCGGCGAGATATGTGAGATAGGCGGCGGCAAATCGCGAGACAGCAAAAGCCGTGTGTCCAACAGTCAAATAATCCGACAGGGAGAGGGCCAGTCCTGGTGGCTGATCCGGATCCGCCGCTCCGAGTCCGGAAAGCCCAGTGACGGCGGCACCTCTGGCCGCGCCCATGCCGGACTTTGGCTGTGATGGCAGGACGGAAAGTAGAAGGCTGTTGAAAAAGGTGCTGTTGCTCTCTTGGCCGGCCACGTACAGATACTGGGCCATGACGGCTAGAATAAGACTGACGGTTCTCAGCTGCAGACCGCCAATGCTCCTCTTGGTAGGGTCGACTGGCAGCTGCTCAGTCGACTTCTCCAGCTCACTGTCACTGACCTCGGGAAGCGGCATGTAATAGAAGAAGAGAGCGAGCACCACACAGAGCAGCGTGATGCCGAGATATGTCCACTGCACATTGATTAGCGTGGTGCTGCTGCTTTGGTCACCTGCGTTGGCATGGCTCAGCGACGTGAAGAAGACCTTTTGCGCCAAGAGGCCGCTGAGAACGCTGCCCACGCCCTGCACGGCTTGTGCCAGCATGAGGCGGGTTTCGCCATACTCCGATGGTCCACAGAGCACCATGAAAGAGTTGGCAGCAACCTCGAGGACCGAAAGGCCGAAGCCAACGACGAAGTTGCTAAGCATGAAGCCGCCAAAGGAATTTGTAACGGCCGAGGGCCAGAAGATGATGGTACCGGTGCCATAGATGCACAGGCCGGTGATGAAAGTCGCCTTGTAGCCACCGATGTTCTCGTCGTTTTGCCGATGACGCTTGGATCGGCTATGCTCGTCTCGTCGCAAAATCCACTCGCCAACCAGAAGAGGTCCGAAGAAGTAGCCGCCGCCAAAGTAAGCACTCGTCAGGCCAATGGTTTGAGCCGTGCTCATGTTGTCCACCGCGGCAATCGCATTGTTGAGCGTGTTTAGCAGCCCATATGATATTCCCCACAGAAAGAAGAGAATGGCCACAATGGTGCAATATTTCCACGACTCTCTGCTGCTGGCTCGGAGCATGCTCTTGGGTTTGGTCATGTTAACGAAGCCAAAATAGACGCCGTTTTCGTAGGAATGGTCCGTCGAGAGCGTGTTGGTGGTGCGGGAGCGGTTCGCAGAATAGGTCAGGGGCAGAGACGTCATATCGGGAGTGGTTAGGAATTCCATGGCGCTCATGGGCGCATCCGGTCCGGGGCTGGCGAGCTGTCGATCGTTGCCAAGGGCACCATGGGCGACGGGTTCCGGTTTCACCACTCCCGAATTGTTCAAGTTGTTGCCCACCGACGGGTTGTCTGAGCCTCGCTGGTTCTGGCTTTTGTCGCTTGTGTCGCTTGGGCTGGGCCTGGATCCATTGTTGTCCTTGGATTTGTACAGCATAGCAGGCAAAAGACGAAGGACAAGAGGCTTTAAAGTGGGAATGCAGGCGCAGGTGGTGCCGACATTGACCTCGACGGCGCTCCACATGAGCGCCAGCGATGCGTTGTAGGCAAAGTCAGCTTGGCCACCAAATCTCGAACTCGGGTCGGAGGTGATTCCCGTGGGGACATCGGTGATGGCCTGCTGAAGGTAATAGACTCGGACGACATCCACAACGGCAACGAAGACACCCAGGGTGAAAGTCAAGACGAGGATCGTCTTTTGCCGTGAGGGTAGCCGCATGCCGGTCAAGACGGGTATCGGCAGCGCTAGAATCGCAAGGTCCGTAACAATGTTGACGGGAGCGGCGCAGATGAACTCGGTCAGCAGGGGGATACATCTCGTCGGGCCCGTGTAGTTCGCGTTCCAAGCAGCTTGTACAGGCGTGCACTGGAATATATTCATGAAGGTGAGGACAATGCCTGCAATGTTGACAATGACAAGGATCAGCCATGAAGCGAAGCGCAGGAGCATTTGTGTGTTTCTAGCCAAGCGCAAGTAGAAGATGAGGATGCTCGTTTTCGTGGCCATCAAGGCTGGGTTCTGGGCTACTCGTCAACTTGGCGTCATCCATGGAGAGAAGGGTTATATAGACTCACGTAGAGGATTGAGAAGACATATTCGCAATGGCGAAGAGTAGCGATGTGTGAAGCGGGAATGTCCTCGTCGTGCTTGCCAAGCCCGTTGGCAACGCCTAAGCAGATGGTAAAGGACAGGAAGAAGGAGATGAGCCAAGCCAGGAGGATGGTCCGGTCATCCCACGTGAATCGCTTTACGATGAAGTAGCGAGAGATCATGCGTGCAAAGACGAAGACCGAGGCGAGGACCAGAGTAGCTATCGTGACGGCCAAGACGGCAGGTCCCCGATTCGCAACGGGGCCACCTGGTTCTACATCCGAGTCCGATTCCATGGCGGTAGCTTCGACAGCAAGCCCATCGAGTAATGGTGGTATGAGCGAGACGGAGAGCAGAGGTCGGTTGGGGACCCAAGCCGGAGTCCGGTTGAGCAGAGATGGATGGAGGCAGGACAAGAAGTCTCGGGCTACCGAGCAGCCGTGAGGTTGATACTTGAAAGGGTCAAAAGACGACAAGTCCCCGGCGGACCCAATAAAGGAGAGCAAGATTCGTCGAGCTAGGTATATGGCCCTGTTGCGGAGTCTGCCATTGCCTCGCGCCCCAGGGGTTAGATTTGATCTAGATCTCGGTTGTCGTCTGGGTTGAAGATGTGCTCCAGCGGGACGGCACGAAGCAGGGAGACGTCGGTCTTGGCTGAGCGGGTGCTATCTTGTGCCTGGACCAGGAGATATAAGGTAAGTACCTTGCTTGTAAGAGGGAGCCGAGCAGCACGCAGTCGCCAGAGTGATATGCAGGCTCGCCGCCGTCCAGCGTCTTCGGCGAGATACAAGCACTAGCACCGAGGGCCAGAGGCTGAGCGGTGCGGCAGCCCGGGATCAGCGAGAAGGTATAGGCGAGAAGCCTTCGGCCAGGGCCGTGACCAGGTCAGTCGACGTCCACTCCCGGTCAATGCAGCCCAGTCCAGTAGACCAGCTTGACCGCAGCGCAAGGCTGCTGACGCCGTTGCTGGAAAGGAGAGTAATTATAGCGCAGGCAGTGAGATGCGATGCATGGGTTCGTTGTTGCTTGGTCAGACGCAGGCCCGGATCGAGAGCGTTTCCGGCAGAGGCACAGCCAGGGCCTTTTCTGGTGTCTCTCGATTCAGCCAGGAGCTCGCAGGACAATTGGGAGACGAGCAGTGTGAAGAAGGAATAAGTCACGACGTAGAGAGAAGATCTGATGCCGGTGTTGTGTCGATGGTCTGAGAGAAGTGAGAAGAAAAGGCTCGTTGACCAAGAACAAGAAAAAAGTCGCGAGCTACTGGGTATGAGAGGACCGCCAGCCGGGAGCCAAGCAGAGCAAGAGCAACGGAGACCGGAACTGCGGTACCTGCCTGCACTGCACCTGCACCTGCACTTGCACCTGCACAGGCCGAAGGGATGCTTGGGGGCAGGTGGCGGACTTGCGCTTGCCCGCGAGTCTGCGCCTGCGCGTGCAGCTGCCACTCGATACCTGCAGGGTACCTAAGGTACGGAGTGGCTGGTACCGCTTGAGGGGGTCTTGAGCGCAAAGTACCGGTACCGAGGCCGGGCTAGCGGCTGGCCAGTACTCGGCAGGCACCCGGGCTGCTGCGGCATTGGGCAGCGCCTGAATTGTACATCTCAGGTCCCAGCCCCAGGCCGTTTTGGCGAGGGCGGCAGGGTCTCTTGTGCAGCAGGCGGTACCGGGCAGGTCTCTCCCATTGATGCACTGTAAGGTAGCTGCAGAGGTTGGGCATCTTGAAGCTGTCTTCAGTTGATGCTGTAGGTAAGAGGTGGTGAATGAGGTATGAGATGGCAATGCTGCACATATCATGACTACCTCTACCTGCTACAGTACTAGATCAATTGCTTTTCAGCTGGCTCTCTTCTGGCCCAGTCCGTTCTTGGGAAATGCCATCGAGTCACAGCACACCCACATCCAGTTTAGACACCGAGCCCTTATGACGCGACGATGCTAGCACATGCACCTGCATACCTACCTACACATGCACGTACATACAAGCTCTCACACACACAAACTCACACAGTACGAAGCATGACCGCAGCCGACCTCATAAACTGCTACGACCCCATATTCTCAGCACGGGCGAGGGAGCAGCGAGGATTCACAAGCTCAATGGGCATGTGCAAGTGTGTGCATCCCTCCTGCAGGACTGGGGGTCATTTCATCAATAAACAATCAAAAACCATCAGCATCCCTTGAACACGATTCACTCCGCTAGTTCAACCACCGCGGCACACTCAGTCCCACGGCAAACAGAGGGCAAAAGGGCGGCGGGCATCGAAAAAGAGGGGCTGCCGAGCAATAAAAGATGGCGGTATGACGGTCCATCAACCCCTGCGAGGCGCATCCAGACGCCGGGTTTCGCTGATCCCGAAGTCATCGTGAGGGCGTATCAGGAACATCTCTGGCCTTGTAGGCAAAACGCTGCGAGGGATGGGGGGAGGGGGCTTTTGTCTGGCTTTGATGGGGGGGGGGCATGGGCTCTTGGGCAAGCCAATGGGGACGATGCAATTGATGAAGCTGAGCAGAGCAGGCACATGACAGCCTGTATGGGAGACGAGCAAGAGAGAGAGGGAGAGAGAGAGAGAGTGTGTGTGTGTGTGTACAAAGAGATTGGCGGTCTCCAGGCGCCGTCACATCGAATCGAGAGCTGCAAACACATCGAATCACAGACGACGGTGGGCATTCGATCTTGACAGCCGCAAGGGCATAAGCACACGCGCATCATGCACCGCTCTGGTGTCTCTCTTTCCATGTCCTTCGACGCATGCGTATGCCAAAGAATGAGCAGTAATTGGGCCCCTCGTTGGCTCTGGGCTAGTATTCGTATAGAGAAAAACTAGGCTCACTCGTCATCGTGTCCTCATGCCTCCACGATGCAACTAGCAAAAATGGTCTGGGGTAGTCGTAGGTACATGCAGGGCTTGAAGCTTGAGTTGGTAGGCGCGCAAAGCGAGCAAATAGGAGCACCCGTTCAACTACAAGTACGCTGCCAATGCGCCGAGAATAGAGCCATCAGGTGCCAACCAGCATTAGGTATTACGCCGGCTACAGAAAGAGGCAGAACCGACGGCTGAATGTGGCGGGCGACGTGCTGCTGTTGGTGATGCTGAGGCTGGGTGTGTTTTAGTACGGGTCTAGCAGCAATTGTGCCTGATTTCGTGGAGGTTAGGGCATCCATATTGTGCCATGTTGGCGACTACTAACAACAAGGCATCTGTGAGAACATGACTTATACGGAGTACTAGCATCGAGGCAAGCAAGAGTCACAGTACGTACCGCAGGGCTCGATCAACTACCTAGTAACAACTGAGTGAAGCCCTCGAGCATCTTCTTCTACCTGACTGCATCGTCAAAGGGCATACATGTAGGTAGGTACCTGAACCTGCCCGTCAACCGCATGTCGGACCGCCACTGGCCAGCCATGCACACGGGGCTCGTCCCGCTCTCTGACCCCAGGGCGTCAGTGGGGTCGTGTATCGGTACCTCGACCGTTGGAGGTTAAACGGGAAGCGGACCGACCACTCAAATTGAAGGCATCAAGTCAGCTCAAACGGTGCGAGAGGGGGATGCCATGCGGTCACTTTGCGCTGCCAATCGCAGAGGCCAGGAGACACTGGCAGAGCAGCTTTGGACTGACGTGGTTGGTGCGAGCAATCATGTTTGTTCTCTCTTCACAATTATTATATTCAGCCGGGAGTCAAATAGCGGCTTGAGTTGTTGCGTAATGAACGAAGCAAAAAAGGGCGATGAGTTGGGCATAGGTACATGTACAGTATGTCAATGCTTCAACTTACATACAACGCACAGCTAACATACATACTTGACTAGCATTTCTACACCGTCTTTACCGTGAATCACGCAGTTACATAAAGTAGCGCGCCCGAGACAGAAGAGAAAGAAAGAAAGAAAATAACAGGGGTTATTACCTCGAAGCTGGCATACAGCCCTGGCATCCTGGCGGTGAGTTTTGCGCAGAAGACAGCTGCATGCCCGCTCCTCTGTGCTCCGCGCTCGTGCATCGTGCATACATGTATCTTGCCCTACCCACCCGAATACAGAGTGCTGTAGAAAATGGGGGTTCAGGGATCTTGACGCAATGAGATGCCGGCTTGTCGGTTTATCGTATCTGATGGTCTTGACCGATATTTACCGATGCCGGACTTTTTCTTTTGTTTCTGAACAGTCTTGTTGAGGTAATTGCTCGGCTTGTTCATGGACAGCACCCAGTCTGTCTCCATCTCTTCACAACCAAACCACAGGCGTCATCCGGTTCAGAAATGCCATCATGCTTTGCATCGGAAAAGAGAAAGGGGGGGCATTGAGCAATCCGTCCAACAACCTCCAGCACCCAAACTATCGATCCGTCTCTTTCAGTACCTTTAACTTTTGATAATTCTTCTTGTGTCGAGGTGGCGCAACCCGGAGCGACGGCAGCTTCTTCCACTTGGCCCACCATCACGTCTTCAACACCACTTTTTTTTTTCCTTCCCCTTCTTCACCTCCTCGTCGCTGGGCGATTCGCCGTTGGGTCCGTTGGTAATTACATACTATATGTACAATGTGCTCACACGTTGCATGTGAACTGCTGCGGTGTAAAAGCCAAAAAAGTGACCAATATGCAGGTGACAGCCTAAGCGCACCGTGTTCCTCCTTGCAACTGACGCTGTATGCGTATGCGTATGTATGTATGCGCGTCGTGACAATTTATACTGATTTGGACAATTACCTCCAAGGTAGAACGGCAATTTCCAGAATCAAAATCCCTTGTACATGTACGAAGGGCTGTAAGATGCCGCCCCAACTGCGAACAGCAAGTCTTGCTCAGACCACACTCGCAGACAGACAACATGACAACATTGAAGACACACCCAACAGCGGCAAAAGTTGGAAAAAACGGTCAGAAGGGGCCTTGTCCGCATCTTGTCCTGTCTGCCACTCCTTTCTTTTATCACTTTGTCAGTTGATCATTCGAAGAAGCTATGATACTGAAAAGTTTTATACAGGCATAAGATAGGTTCATGAACAAACGATGCAGTATTACTTCTTTATACGATGATGTTCTGACTCTGTATCAACAACTCGTATTCAAACATCTTCGCCATCCTGTGTCCCGCGGCTGCCCCGCTTGCATCACCGACTTTATCTCATCGCTGGCCAGATCCGCAGCCCGATTTGCCTTCGTTCAGGTCCCAACGAATCACCCGTGACTCCAGACCTAGCCAGGGTGCTGCCTATAGAGTATCATTCAACTATGTGTCTCTCTTCGTCACAACTATCGAAATAAATTCTCAGCGATTAGTATGTCATATATTCTTTCACTGTACAAAATACGAAGCACGAGAACAGTCCGGCACGTTCAATCCGATCCCGCCTCCCACCTTGATGCCCTCACCGAATCTCAGCCCTCAACCCTCAGCCTTCGTTCAACTCAGCCGAGATCAAATCTTTGTTCCTTCTTCTTTTTGCTGCCCCCAGCAAGTGTCGCTACTAGCCGGAATCCCATCGCTTCGGGACCAATCGCGGCTCTGGTCTCCTCACCAACGGTGCAGCCGCGGACCTTGACCCAAGCCCAGTGACGGCCAGGCTCGGCCGAGACGATCCGTTGGGTGGTAAGACTACCAAAAGGAGCGTTCTTCCTGATGGCTGTCACAACAGACTTTGAGCCTTGTGTTGAGCATCTACGAGTCGCCTAATACTTGTATGTACGACGACGCCAGGCGGTACATGAGCCAACGAATCCATTGAACCGCAGCACATCCCGTTCCGCAGCGTCGGGTCCGGCTGACGCATGTATCGGCTCTTCAGCCAGCTGGTTGTTACATTATCTTCTCATATAAGCGTGCAACGAAACACGTACATCGGTGTAGTTGCCGATACTCCGTGACACAGTTGATCAAGGTCAGCGATTCAACCAACAAACTACATGTAGCTACCTGATTCAGCACATGACTTGGATTCGATTCAGTCGGACCCCTCGATCAACAACCACACCACCAAGTCTGCACAATGACGAACTCTGACAAACGAACCTTTTTTCCACCGCAGACCAAATGCTGCTGCCTGGATCACACACACACACACACACACATACATATGTACAAACACATACTACCAGTAACAAGCGGCAACCTTGACAATGTCTGAGATGGGCGCTACTAGCCGGATGATATTTTCCGCCAAAGAGGCACTTTTCCTTGTCCGCGTATCGCTAGTGAGGCGGCTATGATTCCTTTCTAGATGCGGCAATCAGCCTTGTCGATTCTCTGGGGTCTGGGAATCGGAAGTCGGATCAGCTGGAGCGGCGCGCACCTTGAAGTTGAGCGATTTGGGGATACTGTCGTGATAGAGCCTCCGGCGTTATGAAGCTCGCGTTCTTGATATCGGCCCCTTGCTCAGGCTGCCTTGGCCATGAATCGAAGTTGACTCGTTCCCGTCATGCTCAGCCCAAGTCTCATTCTTGACTCGGTAACACCAAGCCATCCGCAAGTACCGATACAAAAGTGTCATCAGCATAGACGGGATGTAGCCGGTCCAGTAAGATGCAACCGGGTCAACGCCTGCATCTACCCACCAGTCTTCGACGCCCAATCCTGCATCTACATATGTACAGCCCGTCATTCTGTATGTCTCAGTCCAGCCTTAAGTCATGCATCGGGAACGCGTGCTGACTGTACATATAGGCGCGCCATTGGCCAAGCATTGCACGCTTTTCATTATACTTGAGGTGCTCGCGAACTGATAGCAAGTAATAATACAGCGGGATGGCTGAGGACACGGTTGGCTCATACCCGGGATCACCACCTGAATCGGCCTGTCCTACGCTACCATCATCACCTGCCTCTTCCTGTTCTTGTGCCGCTTCACAAATGATTCGAGAGGAGCAAAGTAAGCTTCAGCCCCCGCCATCAAAAGTCCACAATGCCCGCAGAGTCTCCGATCCCCCGCAAAGCACGGATCACGACCTCTCTTGCAGCTGCAGTTGTACATGTATGTCAGATGCCCGCCATATCCTGTGACCAGAGCCACCTGAAGAAGTGTCTATATGCAATATCACAGGGTAGCAGCCATTTAGGGTTCAACAAGATGAGTATACAGAGCAGAATCGGTGCCCAAAGTGGACTCTACTGCCCACTTAAAGTAGCAAAGTGAATGCCCAAGGTAATCTAAGCGCAAAATTGGGCTTCGATACTGCTGAGATGGGAGTTGAGATTGCCATATTGACCGGCTGATCAAGTTCGTAGCCTCAGGGTGTCTGTTGCAAACTGTAAAAGCGTGATAGACGGAGCGTGGCGTTGGGTCGTTGCGACACCCTTACTCTCGAACACGAATTGTACCCCTTATACTGGAAACGTGATGCACTAGCCCACACAGTCAAGCAATGCTTCTGAGTATCTTCGAGACTGATACATCATTCCAATCCCCGCGCTCTTGGAAAAAAAAAAAAAACCGTTGGCTTCCAAACACGTCTTGGGCTCACGCTTCCAAAGCGCCCACCTCTGGCTTGAGCACCTTCTACGTACCCACGTGTGTCGACGGCCTCTAGAAGAAAGACAAAACGCCACTGCAGCTTCTGTGTCTTCGCGCCGATACGTGCGCTACCGTAGATGGAGGCGTTTGGCTTCGCCTGATCAAGGTCCTGAGTCGGCATTGTTTGTTTGGCGGGGGTGGTGGCGCTGTTGGAGAAGCCACTTGCATGCAGATTCTCATGATTCAGTCAAAGGGGCATTTTGTACGGAGCAAAGGATGTGTGCCTACCTAATGTCAGACGTGGTAGGAAGACGTGGTTGTAATGAATGAGAAATGTATACCCTCTGCGTGTTTGGCTAAAGGTTGCAAGTCCTTTTGTTCTCGAGGAGGAGGTGCACAACAAGCTATGATTCTGGGGGAGAAGCCATCTTGATATTGGAGACGGTCTAATATGATTATACTACAGACCGTAAATCTTTGCTACTGACTAGGTATAATTGTTGAACCGCAGCTCCCGAATAGTAGTGAGACTTCCAGTTTCAGTTGCACATGCCGAGAAGGCTCATGCGAGCAGCAGCAGCCATTCCGAGAACCTGGTGTGTAGCCCTCATTTACATCCATCTGCAGCTGCATGCAGTCTGCAAGGTCCCGACCCCCCAGGAATGCCGCATGCCTATATGTAAAGCGAGCAAGTGATGAACGATGTGAACGGATGCAAGCGACCGAAGAGACGATGAGATGTAACAGCCACGAAGGGGTATGTGATTTCTCAACTGATGAACAAATCATTGTTATCCATCGCATCTATCTACATACATCCCGTTTTACATGTGCTAACGTACATGTAGCTCTGTTCACCCTGAAGCCCAGCTGAAATGTCCAACACAACACTACCCCCAATCGGCTCGCAAACAATGACACCCGCCCGTTCCCAAAAGTCAACAACCAACAATACCTACCCAGCCAACCACAAGAGCCACTGAATGTGTTCAATTCTAGATGAAGCTCAGGATAACGGCACAGCAATCTCCGTCTCCACCGTTATCCTGTATAAACTGATGTCGCAACCTATATAAATCCAAACCCTGAACATGACGGCTGTCAATCTCCCCGCAATATCCACTTCTGACCGAGACATTTTGCCTCCTATTATCTCAACCCGACTCAATCACGTCATCAACACAACAAACAAACACCAGACACATCATTCTCACAGCTCCCTAAAGACCTTCCATTTCATCACTCATCACTTAATTATAAACTCATAGCTGTACCGGATAAATCCGAAAGAAAAGTGAGAAAAAAGGGGGCAGTCGGTCAGCGGCCATGGCCAAATCGCCGGAGCACACGGCGCTGCTCGCCGGCCACGAGTCTCACCCCGACGGCCCATCCGACACCATCACGCACGGAAGAGAACGAGAAACCCCGGAAGTCCTCTCTCCCAAGCCGGCCGATGGACCGAATCACACCGTCGGCTTCGCTCGGGGGCTCGTCGTCGGCGCGAGCTTATTCGTGCTCATCTTCATCCACTGTACGCAACAACAACAAACCCCCCGTCATGATCCTTTTCATCTCAAATCTTCACCTTCACCTATTAGCACAATACTATACATGTACAGACGTTGACTAACATACGCCCCCAAAAAAAAGCAACAAACATGTCCGGCCTCACCATGATCCAAGGCCCCCTCTCATCCTCCCTCCACGCCCCTACATCAGCCCAGTCCCTCACAACAAGCTACCTCATCACAATGTCCTCCCTCCTCCCCCTCATCGGCCGCCTCGCATCCGTCCTCTCCCCGCGCTCCATCGTCCTGCCCTCCGCCTTGCTCTTTGCCCTCGGCAGCCTCGCCGCCTCCCAGGCATCTTCCTACGCGGCCTTCCTCGCCGCAAGAATCGTCATGGGCGTCGGCGGCGCGGGGATAGTCGTCATGGCGGTGGTGTTTGTGATTGAGCTCACGGGGCCCAGGACCAGGGGCGTCGTGATTGGGTTTGTAAACGCGGCGTTTACGATGGGGGTTTCGGTCGGGGCGGCGGTGTTTGGTGTTTTGGAGCCGGTTGTCGGATGGGTGAGTAAATGTTGCCTTGTTCTCGCTTTTTTAACATACCGGGCTTTTTTTGGCTGATCAAGTTGACGTCTGCCTGCAGAGGCCGCTCTTCTGGTTCCCGTCGCCGATAGTCCTCCTCGCAGGCATCGGGCTCCATCTCAGCCTCCCGACGTCCATGTCGCTGCCCCCATCAGAACAAACCGGCAAACCAGCTTCTCTAAGACAAAGACTCGCCAGCATAGACTACCTCGGCGCTTTTCTCCTTGTAAGCATATCATCTTCCTTTAACCCCCCCTTGCACATCCCATCTTTTTTCCAAAGCTCGCTAACATCCACATCACCAAAAAGACCCTCACCATAGTCCTCTTCCTCCACTCCCTCTCCGCCGAAATCCATCCCCTCCCCCTCCTCACCTCCCTCCTCACCCTCCTCCTCTTCACCATCACCGAGTTCCGCCTCGCCCCGGACCCCATCATCCCCCTCTCCGTCCTCTCCTCCCGCCCCGTCCTGCTCTCCTGCCTCGCCCAGCTGGGCCTCATGACCGCCCGCTGGGCCATCCTCTTTTACACGCCCATCCTCATGCTCTCCCTCCGCGCTGCCTCCCCGGGAAAAGCCGGCTCCCTCCTCATCGCCACCAACGTTGGCTTCTCCATCGGCGGCCTCGCCATCGGATGGCTACATATCCGACGCCAGGGATCGTACTATTTCGCGCAGCTCCTCTCCTTGCTTGCCTTTACACTCACCGTCCTCGCCCTATCACTCCTCACCCATCCCATCTCCATCCCCATCTCCCCCTCCTCCTTTCCCTCCCTCTCCTCCTCCTCCTCCTCCTCCTCCTCCTCCTCATCATCATCAACATCATCATCATCGTCTCCCAGCACACCATTCACCGCCTTCGTAGCAACCATATGCCTCAACGGCATCATCACAGGAATATCCCTAAACTACGCCCTCGTCCACATCCTCCACCTCTCTCACCCCTCCACATCCTACGTAACCACCAGCCTCCTCGCCACCTTCCGCGGCTTCGGCGGCAGCTTCGGCACCTCCCTCGGCGGCGGCATCTTCTTCCGCGTCCTCCGCGCGCGTCTCCTACGCGGCTTCCTTTCCCTCGACGGCCACCACCACCACCACCACGACAACAACGGTGAACTGCTGAGTCCCGAGAGGGAACAGCTGATGAATGAGCTGCTTGGCTCGCCGCAGCTCGTCTGGAAGGAGGGCTTCTTGGGAACCAGGGAGAGGCAGATTGCGGTGGAGGGGTACGCAGATGCCATTGGGAGCGTGTGGAGGGCCGCGGCGTGCTTGGGGGTGGTTGTTATTCTTGTGCAGGCTGCGGCTGGGTGGACGGCGCCTGGGGAGGGAGAGGAGCGGACGTTGCAGGAGGTCGAGGAGTGATTGGATCATGCACATTTGTGTCATCATGTGGGATTATATACAGGGTCCTTTGATGTACGAGATATACTAGGTCAAGAGTTTTAGATTTGACTATTTGCTTCATCATTCATTGCATTAAAAGACTCTCAGTTTTCAAAAGAAAGGGTATCTAGGCCACATCTGCCGCTTTCAAGACCCCCCAAGTCAGGCAGAAAACAGGAGCAAGGCCCGCTTCGTTTCGTCATATCATACATGCATAGCCTACATGGCCCTCTTATACACGTCCTCCGTCGATACATACAAGCCCATTTGTGAGATTCTGTCAGCATACATGTCTGCTCCCTGCCATTACCGCTGCTCCTTTTCAATACGATTTTCCATGTCCGGCACAGGTGACTGCCCGCTCGTCCATATATATATATATATATATATATATATATATATATATATATATCCTCCTCCATAATTTGTCAAAACAGAGGAACCTAGAGGAATAGCTATCCCTCATGGCGCGCTACCACCCGTCAGAAAGAAATCGAGCTCGCTCTTCAATCCGCTGCTCTGCCGCTGCTCATCGTTGGCAAGCTGCTCCAAAAGGCTCATGAACGGATCCTTCTCCTCGCCCGTCGTCCCCGTGCTGCCCGTGTTGCTCTTGGTGCTGGGGCTGGGAGCCGTGGCTCCCGGCGTTGCCTGGCTGACCCCTGGTTGCCAGGTGGGCGGGCTGCCGTATGCGCTGGCCGAAATCGTTCCGAACATGGCGTCGAAGCCTCCGCTGGCGTCGTTGATGACCTGCTGCTGAGGCACACCGCCTGTCGCGTGAGATGGCCCGAGGTTGTAGTGGAACGCGGGGCTGAATGCCATGCCGGCCATGGAGGCCATGTTTCCTGCACCGGCGTGCGCTGGATGCCCGAGGCCGAAGCCAGCCATGGCAGGGTGGGCGGCCGAGGTGACGTCGACGGTGCTGCGCATGGCACTCAGGTGGTGCTGCTGTTGCCGCTGGGCATCCATGTGAGCCGGCATCATCTCGCCCAGGGCGCCCACCCCAGGCGTCGACGGGGCCGGCATCAGCCCAGGCTGCATGGGTACGGACTGGCGGGGATAGCTCGTGACCGTCATCGTGGGCGTGAGAGGCAGAGGTATGCCCTGAAGGGAAGACTGGGAAGGCTTCTTCATCTTGGGGTTCGGCCTGTTCTCCGTGGGCCAAGGAGACTGTATATCGGACAGGGGGGTCGGCTCGTTGGAGTAGTCGACCAGTTCATCGGCCAGGCTGAGGTTGGCGGTATCAAAGTGGAACGTCGGTCCCCCGGGCCCTCCAATGTTGGAATATCGATCGAAAAAGTCCTCGAGCTGGAAGCCGGGCGTGTATCGCATTGCGCTTCCGGTGATGGCCTTGACCAGCTCTCTGTGAGCCTCGTAGAGTCGCTGGAGCATATCTCGTTGGTGCTGCACAATGGCCCAGGTGAACCGCAGGTCGCTCAACAGCTGCATTTCGCGGGACAAGAAGTCCGAAGACGAGCTGAAGACGCTGATCTCGCCGCTGGCGCCCTGCTTGCCGTAGTGAGCGCCGTGGATGTGGACGGTGCCGGCGGTGCAGATGCAGTAGCCGACAAACGACGGCCACTCAATGGTCTGCATCTGCCTGCCGACCTCGGCGAGCTCCGTAATGGCATTCGCATGGAAGAAGCACATGTTGGTGGCCTCAATCTGCCACGACTGGTGCTGTCCGTTTCCTGCCAGCTCAGCTAGGCTGATAGGGAGGAACGGACGGTAAATCAAGCAGTGGATGAGGTGGTAGATGAGCTTGCACAGGACAAGGACCGTCGAGTCCGGCTGGCCAAAGAGCACATCCATTGACGCAAAGACGCCATCCGTGCCCGACGCCCACACGTCAAGATCCTGCCTGATCTTGGACAGATTTGACAGCGAGTGCCAGGGGAAGTGCGAGTCGCCCTTGACGCCCCCGGCCGCCAGATAGCGGTTCGTCACGCCGAGGATGCGCGTGATGTCGATGAGCATGCCGGAGCTGCCCTGGGACTTCTTGCCGCTGCCCTGAAAGTACTGCAGGTTAGAGCCGCAGAGGAAGAAGTCGCCGTCCACGGGAAGGCCAGAAACGGCTGGAGACCATGACGGGAGCCGCAAAGCAATGGAATCGTCGCCGATGAGGGAGGGGCGCTTGGAGCCGGAGGCAGAGAAGCGGTCCAGCAAATAGCACGACCAAAAGAGCTGTCTCCGTGTTTCGCGTTCCATCGGCGTCACCTGTGCTTGCTGATCCATCTCGCGATGCAGTTCCAGCGCCATGATCATGCCAATGGCGTTGCCTAGGCCCACAATGTTAGCTATGTCTGTCTCACATTGAAAGACTGGGCCTCCCGCTGGACGTACTCAGTAACATAAAGGCCTTCCTCCCCTTTCCCGAGGCAGTATATGCAATTGCCAGTAACACAATGGCCTGAAGATTGTCAATGGACGGCTCATCGATGTCAATGGCACTCCTGGCTCGCGAGGCATATTCGTCGCCCAGCTTGACGGCGGCCCGGAAACCGCGAGGATGCGGTGTGTGCCTACATAAGAGTAAGATGAGATGTACACGATTGGCACTACCATGCTGGAGACATACCTGGCGGCGACTGCGGCAATGGCGTCGAAGAGGAAGGGGGGGAGTTGGTTGAGCTGGATGCGCTTCCGTATCACCGACTCGTCAAAGATGTGAAAGGGCTTGTTGTGGAAGCGCGTAAAGTAGGTATCAAGAAGAGCGTCGGTCTGGATAGAGGGGGTGGCGGGATCCCTGATGGCCCAGATTAGCATTGACCAAGCACAACGGCAACGGAGCAACCAACCCAGCTGTCGACGACGTCTTTGGGGAGTACAGCGGCAGCTCTGTGACGTTGGGCGTCTTGTCCTCGGTGGCTCTCCGCTTGGCGACGGGTTCCGCAACGTCTCGCTCGTCCGACTGCCTCTTTGTGGATGGTTCAGCTGCTGCCGGCTGCTGTGTCGCCGCTGAGGGAGCCGCCTGCTCGCCTTCGGCATTCTTCTCCTTGAGCTTGGCCTCCAAACCATCCACTCTCTTCAAGAGAGCCTCCAAGACGTCCGTCTTTGGCCCGCGCTTCTTCGGTACAGCATCTAGGAGACCAATGTATGAGCATTTCTGGTCCGAATTAAGTCCCGGTACAACGGCGGCGCTTTCCAACAAGAAAGTTGTCTCGCATAAGGTGTGAGACACTCGGCTCCCCGCTCCGAGAGTACGAGGCGGCACAGGGCACCGTTTGAGCTTACCATATATACACGGGCATTGGAACACTAGACATGCTTCGCAAGAAGGACGCAGGCGATTACACTTGATCTGAAGCCACAATGAGAAGAACCATGTCAGAAACTGCGCGCAAGACTCACTTTCAATGGAGGGGGGGGGGGGGGGGGGGGGGGCTACAGAGATTGGCGCAGAGCGAGAGCTGCCTAGAGGACAGCCCGGGGAACGCAACAACTCACCTTTCGCTTGCGGCACGACTTGCAGTTCATGGACTCGCGCGGCTCGGTGGTGACATTGCGAGCAGGCAGGCGCTCAATGCCAACCTGCGGCCGCTGGGGCGGCAAGGCCATGGGCTGCTGCGGAGGGCGATGCGGAGCGTTCATCTTGGGAGAGGCGGACGAGGATGCGCGGGCGCCCGGTTGGGGGTTGCCGAATGGCTCCGAGGAGCAACGAGAGGCCGCTCTGCAGGCAATGCGGGTTGCCGGCCGCCGCCAGCAGGGCGCCTAAGCCGTCGAGGGCAGAGCAGCACGGGGCAACGGTATAGGACCAGCAGGCGGCTTGAGGCGAAGGCCAGACGTAGCGAGCGGGTGAAGCTGCTGCAGAGGAGGCGCGCGAGAGGGACGGACAGAGGCAGAAGGCGGCGAACGAAGGGCCCGGGGGGGCGAGACGGCCTGCAGCGCAAGCAATTCCGTGTTGGTGCACTGGTTATGGGACACGAGATGCCGGCGGCTCGCTCAAGCCCGGAGCTGGCCCTGTCGAGGATTGTCTGCGTGCTGGGCGCTGCGTCTGTCGCGTCGGGACGACAAGCAGCTGGCAGGTCTGGAGGTTCGGTCTGGTCGAGGAGCTGCGGCGGCCGGCGCACCGAGTGTGTGCGAGTGCTGGCTGGGCTTTTTGACGTTGGAAGGATGCGCTGGCGGAGGATGACGGGCGCCGAGAGGGAGAGACAAATATAGAAGACAAGGAGCCGAGTCGTGGGCCAGCAGCCGGCGGCGGAGGGATCGCGGACGTGAGGAGATGGAAGCTTGTCGAGGCCTCGGAGCTGCTGCCTCGTGAGGACCCCGGGATAGAAGAGATGGATGGAGGTGAGGTGAGGCCTGGGCTGCACTGGCTCGATGCACCCGCCAGAGCAGAGCAGTGCAGTGCAGTGCAGTGCCTGCTGTAAGTATGGACTGTACCTCTTTTAGTGGCATTGATCCATTGATTGATCGAGTCTGGCCTGGCCTGCCTGAGCCGTCGGCAACCTCCAGCTCCAGTGTTCCTTCTGCCTACTGCACTAACCTTACAGGCCCCAGGCCCAGGGGACAGGGACCAGACAGGGACGGGTACAGGTACGGGGTCAGGTACAGGTACTTGCGACAGCGACAGCCAGCCGTCACTGGTCTCTGAACCCCCGCCCTCTGAACCCGCTAGTAAGTCCTGCCAGCCCGCCTGAACAGCCCCGTCAGAGGCCACGCCTCCAGCCTATCGCCAACGGACCGCTGCTCCGCTTTCGCAGCCCGTAGAGGTACAAATGCCAAATGCAGGATAGAACACCTCAAGCATCAATCCATTCCGTCCCTTTTGGCGCTGCGCGGAATTCGGTTCAAGTTCCCAGCAGCAGGTCCAAGTTCACCCAATGTCGCATTAAATCTTTTAGCATCTCGGGGCTTCTCCGCGCCATACCAAAGCTGTGCCGCACCTCAGTACTACATACAATACCTTCTTGCGTCCATTGAATGCCCGATCAAGGTTGTTCCTGTCTCATCCCGTGGCAGATGTGATACCTATGGACACT